ATAAAATATCTAATTTATAACCAACAATAATATACAGTTTGGATCAGGTTCCAGAAGGGCAGTAGTCCCAAATTCTGTAGTTTTTGAGAGGCTCATTTTTCAAACAATTGACAAAATTTGTGGGTGTGGGGCAATAGTCCATGTCCAAAAAGTTGAAAACTTTACGATTACCTGGTACCTCAAATGATGTAACACTTTGTACAAATTTCCGACAGTTGCTCATGATGGATTTGTGTTAAATGCTGAAAGTCTTATCTAAGGTTAGCAAGCAGGGTTTTGGATGCCGGATGCCATTCAAAATAAACCATCTTGAATTTGATGAAATCAAAACGAAAAATCTTTTTTTTTGCAAATTGTGACTTCCAAGAAACGACACAACGTGTTTCCTATTGCTTTTCAGTAGTTCTGCTATCAAAAGAGCTGTACGGCCTAAAAAAGAAAAAAAAATACCAATCGTCCCGACAAGACTTAGATGGCAATTGCACTCACGGGCATCACTGAGGTGAATTACATTATGGCTACCAACCAAAAATGCGGAGATGCATGCAATCAAGGAGTATGTCTCTTAAAGAGAAATGGAACCTGTTACCGGTAGTAACAGGTGAAAAAGAGTTGCCTAGTTGATCTCTTTGCGTCATAGAACATGAACAATTTCTGGTAAAAACGATTCGCTGCCAAACCACTTCCTTTAATGGTAGATATTGACGGGAGAAAAACTACCGAGATGTCATGTTAAAAACCTTTAAGGTAGTAAGTTGTGGTTATACTATAGTAGCAGACTATGGATTCTATAACTCAAAAACTGCTGATTTTGTTTCGTTCTCGTATATCTAAAAAACGTTTTATTTTCGTTTTATTTCGTTTTATAATTGCAAGAAAGCCTTCAAGTTCATTTTCATGACCAAAAAGAAGGTTTAACGAAATTCTTGACCAATAATTTTTTGACATATCGACATAGAAATCATAATAGAGAATTGAGTGGATATCGGTCTTTTTTTTTTTACTGTTATCGTTACCTTATCAACTGGTATTACGGTCTTTTTTGACCAGAAACGCTAATCATACAATTTTCAATTATGGAAAAATGCTAGACATACACTTTTCATGCAAATCCATAATCACAGAAAATTGCATGAAAGGTCTATGATTAGAGATTTTTCATATAAGGAAATTGTATGACTAGCATTTTTCCAAAAACCAAAAATTTGATGCCTTTAATTTGATGTAGCTGAACACAAATGACACAAACCATGGCTTACTATAAACTAGAGTCACCAAAATTTGGACCGTTTTGCATTTACGATGCATTGGAAACAATCTGAACGATTTGTCTTACACAAATCATATACAGAAAGAACCAAATCTTTCAATTTTGGCAAATATTTTTAACGATGATCATTTTTAGAATTTGTATTTTTAATTAATCAAACATTGATCAGGATCAAGGAATACCCAAACATACCATACAAAAAACAGGAGTTTTGAGCCCTTTAAAAAAAGTTATCAAGAGAAACGGAAAAAACCCTAACTTTGTGTATCCCGGACTACGTTATGCACAGAAAAAGTAATATAGTTTTTTTTCTGGAAAATTTTGGCTTGAGTATAAAATTCATTTTGCGGTTGAAAAAAGAAAACAAAATAATTTTTAGCGCAATTTCAGAGTTACTCGGAAAAATGACAAAAGTTTTTCTTTTTTACTTAGCACAATACACTGACTTCTATGCTAAGACAAGAAAAAAAAATTCTTTGAAATTTCGATGACACTTTTTTAGCAAAACTTCTGAGTTTGAATGATTAGTATTTTTATAGACTTAGTTTTATGGAAATGTATGGTTAACAATTTTGGTCTTTGGTCAACCAGGGCTTGTGAGCTTTTTTTCCTTTTCTTAGTCATTTTTCAGTAGAAAAAAAAACGTTTTCCCATTGGTTTATTCTGCTAGGATTGTCGGCTCTGCCTAAGTCATATTTGTTTGTTCAGATTCTTTTATTACACCATGTGGGAAAAAAAAACGCCACCAACTTGAATAAATTTTTTTTGGATTTTCTAAGACTGCCGCTTCTTGCTTCGTAACCGGCTATCCTTAGTCTATTTTGTATTTTTCGGTCTCCTAGATAAAAATTAAATTTTGTTACATTGTTACTTGATAACTTGGTAATTGTTGGATAGCTTCAAGTGACAAATGCTTCTTGACTCAACAAATGCATGCTGCCGTATAAGATTTTCTGACCTAGTTCCGAAAATTTTACATAGACTTTTTGGCTGAGAAGCCAGCTCAAAACCAAATTCTTTTTCAGCTTTTTCCGTTTCATCACTTCACATTGGCTCCCGGAATATAAATATTTTTCCATATTATCTGATTTCATTTGCTGAACAGTCCAAAAATGTGAAATTAGGGAGAAATAGAAATGAAAGAACCATGAGTCCCCCGATTTTTTGAAATTTGAAAATATTCTTTGCGTTCGAACAGGGTGAACTAAAAATATATTTAATTTAGGCAGCCAAAAACTTATGATAGACACCAAAAACTACGTTAGACACCAAATCTCAAACAGTGCAATGATTATATCATGTTACGGTACAAAAATTTGAACCAAGTTTGTGCTACAAACTGGCAAAATGAAGACTCCAAAATAAAATCATGATTAAACCCAATTTTAGATCAAAGTGAAATTATTTTTTTCTGTACTCACTTGACTGAGAAGGAAAACATTTCTGGTCGATCAAGAGAGGTTATATTGCAAGATCTTGCAAATTTCTTGCAAATGAGGGTTGTCTTGCAAGATCTTACAAGATGGATGATATCTTGCAAGAATCTTGTATGAAAAAGGCTATCTTGCATGAATCTTGCAAGGTTTTTGCAAGATCTTGCAGAATAAACATCCCAAAAGTTCTGTCTAGAAACAATAAAAGATGACAAAAATTACTAACATGATCAATACAAATTGATTCTAGAAGGAGAACGCAAAATTTTTTCGAGTTGACCTGAAAAAAATGATAAGGTTTTGAAACGTTTTTCGTTTGAAATGCTAAAATTTGCGTAAAACGTGATTTCGATGAAACCGGTATGTTCTATTTTGCTATGATTCAAATTGTCCCAGAAACAAAAACTCAAAACAATTTTGACAAGTTTTTCGGCTTTAACAATCGAAAAAAAACATAGTGTAACGTCTCTTCTTTCATTTTACAAACGATGGCAGTACAACAGGTTGAAATTTTAATCGCACTCACTAGCATTTATGCAGCTGACTCAACGGTTGAAAAAAAAAACAAGAAAATCCAGGTTTGGATTCAAAAAAATATTGTTTCGCATCTTTCACATATGCTAACATAATTCTATGGAGCTCTTTGTTATACAATCAATTGCGGATTAGTTTGCACAAAAGTTCATAAGTTTTGTCAAGACAAGTTTCTTATAATAGCCAATAAAAACATTTGGATGTAAGAGCTCCAGAAAGGATCGCGTTCTTGAATTGCTGATAAGTTTTTAATTTTTACTCTACTTAAATTTTTTTGTCCCAATTCGGATTGTGGCTATAAATTGAATATTTAGTTATTTTGGTTTTTGAGACTTTCATCAGCGAAGAAGTTAGAAGCATAAATGTCGACTCACCATCAGAAAATTCAATAGAAAAAGCGTAATTGTGGGAAAAATTGAGTTAAAAACAACCTATTATTAACCTTGTGCTTTTGGTAATTATCTTTGCTTGGACTAATGTCTTGAAACTATATTCTTATTTGATACAAATTGTATTTTTTCTATTTTTTTGAAAAATTTAGTTGTAAGTTGTCGATCAAAATTTTAAGTCGCATATCACAACAAGAACAATTAAAAAAAAACTTTCGGGGGGCAACTGTCTAGCTGGCTGTATTTATGTATGCGTAGCTAAAATGGCTTCGTTTTTCCACGAACGTTACTTGGTTGTCTCTGCGTGTTAAGCTGTTTTTGCCCAAAAAACCGTATCATCGAAGATCTTGCAAAAAAAGGTTATCTTCAAAGGAGGTTGTCTTGCAAGATCTTGCAAGATAACCCCCCTTTATTGAGTAGGGATTACACGGCCAAAATAGTAAGTGGATTCCGCAACAAAAACTCTTCCTTTGTTCTTCTTTTGATCTTCCATTTTATTTTAAAGGCTTGTTTTCTCTCGTTTCTATTTGAAGACTTGTTTCAAAAACGGTTTTCTCAACACACCCAAAGAAAAAGCAACAAAACCCACTCGGTTTGACGCGAGGGCGATCTGTTATCAAAATAATGGCTGATGTTTGCAATTATATTTAAGGCCACATTTTTGACAAAATCAGTAGCCTCGCGTCTTAGTCGGTCAAATCATGATGTTATGTTTTTATCTGCTGAATCGAGTGAACAAAAAATCTCTGGCGTCGAATGAGAAGGCTGAGGTTAATTAATTTTTTTGATCGAATATTTTATAGCAAAAAACAATAAAACTGCTTCCAGTTCCGTAAATAATTTTTCGATTTAGAAAAATTAGTTTTTGATTATTATGAATTCCTTTCATTTTCAGATTAATTTAGAAAAATCTGAAAAAACGTGGCTGCGAACTATCTATAATCAGCAATCAGTTAATGACTATGATCAGGGGTGGATTGAGAGGGGCGGAATCCCCCTCCCCCCTCCCCCCTCAGGGATTCGACCCCCTGCCGACACAAGGGTCCCCTCTTTGATACTTTTTAGGAAATCCATTTTTGGTTGACCGACCCTAAAATTTTACTAATATATACTAATTTTGACGGGGAGCGCGCGCCAAAAAAACGCAATTTTTTAGGTCAATTTTCAAAAAAACTGCCTAAAAACGGCTTTTTGACCTGTTTTTTCAAAAGTTTGCCTGCGGCGCATACAATTTTGCAAAAACAGTGTCTTTTTGGTGCTTTAGGACAGCTTCTGGTCTTTTAGGGTGCTTTCAGAAAATCAATTTTTTGAAAATCTTCCCCGCCCCTTTGAGAAAATCCTCGATTCTCGCCTGACTATGATAATTCTGTTTAGATCGACTGCGTTCTTCTGTACAGCTGGGAACCAAACCTAGTTTTCGACTCTCTTCTTAAGCAAAACTCATTCACCCTTCTGGCTTCAAAACTGTGGATCCTGCCCCAAGTAGTTGCAGCCAAGCTGTGCTCAGGAAAACATGTCGCCTACAGTTCTAAATGGCCGCCGAAAATGCTCATACAGTGTTTTGTTCAGGGAGATATTGGGCCAGAAAAAGTGGTGACAAGATTACCGAAAATTCTAGAAGAAAGTATCATTGAAGTTCAAGAGGTCGAACTAAACACGAGCAGAAACCACATTGTCAAAATGGGATCGATGCACAGGTTTGTTTTCAGCTGGCATCTTTTCCAAGTGAAAATTTTTGTGAGGGTATCCTTGAGATTCTGGCGAAGGATTTTTTAAGCCACCCCCCTTCCAATAAAAAGGGACCGTTTGAGGTATCACAAATATGTTGATGGATATCAAGTGCGGTATGATGCTGAAGCATTTGCAGCGGCAATTCGGAATCTGAAAAGATATACTTCGAAAATTGTTTCACACTTGACCTTTTCTGATGTGTTCATTAATGATACTTTATTCAACTCCAAAAATAGAAAAAAAAATGTTCGAAAAAATCAGTTTCGTAAAATTTAGTGTTGTAAGTTTTCAGATTTTCATGTTTTTTTTTTTGAAAAATGATTAGCGGAACCTACTGTGAAATTTTTAGCTACACTTTTTAGTTTTGGTTACATCGGTCTTTAAATAGCGACAAGAAATACAAATCTCTAGTTCACTTTATTAATCTTATTTATTCGCCTATTAGCCTAATGAAGGCCAATTATACAGGTCAATTTTGTCTCTTTTAAGAGGCCACAGATCACTGGAGATTTCAAGAGTAAATTGACTCTCTTCTGTTCAAACAGGAAATTTGACGCATTTGTTCAGCTCTAAATTAGAACCTCTAATAGCTCTTAATTTGAACGAACTAAAAATATCTTTAGATTTTCAGAACTTAAGGAGACTATATACGCCGGCGGTGAATTTGCTATTGGAAGACTATTGTATGATTCCCAAAAAACATGATCCAAATTTAAAGTGTCTTGTAGTGCAGTTAAAAGCTGATAGTTAGGAAGCAACACCTGAGACTTGAAGCACAGATGGTTCCGCTTTCCGCCCACAAATCACTTTGCAAAACAGAAATGCCAGAAGTATGCAAAACGGATCTACTTAAGAAACTCCCCCCTATGGTACCTACTTAAGAATCTCCACCGCTATATATAAATACAGTAAATTAGCACTGAGCTTTCTATTGAGAATTCTAATTTTGCTTCATTCTGATTGGTCAAAAATCGACCATTTTATCTACTTAACAATCTCCCCCCTTTCTTGAAAGGGGTGGAGATTGTTAAGTAGATCCTGCAAAACATCACAAAACTTTTCAGTTTTTTTGTGTGTGGAAGGCAATAAAAACCTGTTTTGAACAAACTGCCAATGGATTTTAACGAATTCTAAACAAAACAGTAGTTACAAGAGCTTAACTTGAATCAATATAAAGATTGCATTTCCAAGTTGGCCCCCATAAACCGAGAATGCTACTAATACAATACAATTCCATATATAGGTTGATTGTGAAAATGGACATTGTGTGATTACGATTTATTGATTGATAACATCACAATGCTTTCTAAATGCAAAACTCAAGTCACAAAATGTATTGCCAGCAATGAGGTTGCATGGATGATAATCGATTATAATGGATTATCAAGGTCTGTTTCTGTAAAACTCTAAAATAATTTATTATAACGGATTAATTATTGATTATAATTTTAACGAAAAAGAAATCAGCTTAAGCCAATATACTCGATGAAAATGGGTTATATTTAATTATAATGGATTATAATGAATTATAATGGGTTATAACGGACTATATTGAATTATAGTAATTTATAAGGAATCATAATTTGTTCTACGCAAAAGCCTGGATTTTCCAAAAAGTTTGCGTAATCGTTCAAAGTTGGAACAGTGCAATCGTTTCATGGAGATTAACAAAATGTTTTGTAAGTTTTGTTGTATTGTTAACGATTTTTTTTCACATTAGTTCCTTAATTGGGATTTCGTCGCCGCTCGCCCATTTATCCCACACTTATGCTTAACAATAGTACTCCCTCCACTTATCACCCCTCTCCCCATTATTACCCCCTTTACACACGTTTACCTCACCCCATCTCGCCACCTATTCCACTTACCCCAACACCAGCCCCCAAACCACAAAAAAACGAGGGGAGGGGGGAGGTCGATGAGACTTCGAGGTGGCGGGGGCGTATTTGTTATATACTGCTATGGGGGCGTGGGGGTTGGGGGTAAATTGCATTCTTTCACGAAAAGTCTTAAAATTTTTTCAGGCTCAATTTTATATTTTCGCGGTTTGAATAATGATTTCTTTCTAAGTTAAGCTCACATCTTTTGTTAAAATGAAGGAAGACTCCAATATCGAACAGCAAATATGTAAAAGTCACCAAAAACGCGATTGACTTCTAGTTTCGAATGTTGATTTTGTTTTTCAAATTTCTCCGAAGAATAAAAGTTTAGCTAGTGATCCAGTATTCGCAAATTTTAAACTGTTCTGGAAATTAAAAAAGCTCGAAGGGCATCTCTGTTCTCTCTAATATTCGAAAATTCATTATTTTCTGTTTACTTGCGTTCATTAACTCTTTTCAAACTGTCTGTTGGCTTTGTTTTGTTGACTCTAATTATAAAAATGTATGTGATTTTAAAATATTTTTTGCTGCTCTTGAAGCAAAAAGTCATATCTCAAAAAACAATTAGACTGTGAAGTTTTGTTGCTGCTCTCAATGAGTGCTTGATGTTTTCCAGGATTGATGCGTCTGGTATAAAATAAAAAAGATCAAAACTGAAACTTTCAAAACATTCTTTTTTCCTATAGAAAGATGTTGGAATTGAAATTGCTCAGTGTAAATGACTGCTAGTCACACAGTAGCCTGTTATGGAAAAAAGCTACTCATACTGTTTTCAAGCAATTTTCATATGTATGAAAAGCATGGGCCGTAGTATAGAAACTGTACGACTACATAATTTTTCTACTCAGTCTGTACTTTAAATGTAACTTTTTAACTCGCCGCTGAAAAAAAAAACAAAATTTTCTGCAATGTTGATCTATTAACGATCGAAAGGAACAGATTATGATGTTTGTGAGACTATATTTGTGAAAATATCACTTCGTGAAAGAGAAATTGAAACTCAAAAGACACCCAAATATGAAACTCATTCCCGTTTTAGTGTTCGGAGGTTAACCAAAAGAAGAAATCGAACGTAAGAAAGAAGAGTAACGTAATTTGTTATTAGCAAAATGTTTTTCGAAAGAAAAAGAAAAGCACTAAAAATTAAAAGTGAAATGAGGCAAATCTCTAAAATAGCAATAGCGTGCTCCCAGTTTATTGAAAAAGTATACTCGAGAACAAAAAGCCCTGAATGTATTTGACCCCGTGAAATTTGAGAAAAAACCGTACTTGTGAAATGATCATCAAAAAGTCACTGATGAGACTTAATTTATATTAGCAATGGTTGTTACAACTTTATGTGCTTTTTCATGTTTGAAGTCCTTGGAGATTTGATTGAAACTTTGCTGAGTATTTTTGGTCTTGCAGGGCGTACTGAACTTGACTTTAGCAGTTGAAGGTATTCCAAGTTTTTTTTCAAATTTTTTTGACAGTGTCTATTTTTTCGTTGTAGGACAAATATACAAGGATATTTGATCATAGAAATCTTTTAGCGTGTTTTTTCACTGATTTAAATTTAAAAAAATCTGTAAAAAAAAATTAAACAACTCACACTTAATAAAATTTCAAAGTTTCAATAAATCTTGTGAAGACTTTTATATAAAATATGATGATTCTTATTGCTTTTTTTCGGTAAAAGCACTCAAGTTTGATCAAGCCAAACTTGATGACTTGATCGTTTGCTTTTGAAAATTTCATTTGATTAAGATCAGTTACAATTAATTTGCTTAAAAAAAGGCAAGTTACACCTTCATTTTAAGAAAAAAATATGATGCAGAAAAACGTGGAGGATTTTAGTTTCGAAATTTGTTCTTAATCTAAAAAATTTATGATACACTTTTCTTTATTTGGGCTAAATTTGAGTAAATTAAGTATTGGCAAAACAATGAATTTTAGACTGATGAATGATAAGTCTGATCTGACAAAATTTAAGCATTACGATTTGAGTTGTGTATTCAATTATTAAAACCAGTTAGCTGACTCAAATCAACATGGAACAATTTTGTAGAGCGAGATGATTGGCCACGCGTGTAATTTATATGAAGTGAGCTGTTTGAACAGATGTGAAGGCAAGAAACTGCAGTGACATGCACATACGGCTGAGCCCATGCAGATGCAATCCCCCGAGTGACCAGAGTTTTGTAAATTTACTCCGAACAAAGAAAAAACCACGCCAAGCATAACTTTCCTCATTTTCTTCAAAAATTTGAATAATATAAGATAGCCATATGTTGTAGAATTAGCACAGAAGAATGAGACGAAAACATTTTTTGAGAATATTTTAAGCAAACATTAAAAATATAAATAAACAAAAACAAAAATTCATTGAGCTTTTAATTTTTTTTGTTTAGATATAATTTGCAGAGGGCAATTAGCGTAGCACTGAAAGTAGAATTAATTATTGCTAAAAATACATTGAATTTTGCAGTGAATTTCAATGCCCATCCGATATTGAGTTCCCAATAAGAACAGAAAATGTATCATGAATGGTTCCTTGTTATTACTATAATATCGCTGATTTCATAAGGACCATCAAAAGCTACTGCAAAATGTTTTCTCGGTGACAAATTACATAATTTATTAATGATCGTTTCTTATTTTAATTAGATTTTCAGAAGATCAAAACAAATTATAATCTGTTTTTTCATTTTTTTTGCAGAACATTGCTTCAAAAACTTATATATATTTTTTCAATTTTGAATTCGAGTTTCAAGAATTCAAGTTAATTTGCCATTTCGGAAAGTTTGTGAAGTTTTACATTTGAATTTGGATACATACTCCAAAACTTGATATTGGCAATGACTTGGAAGCTATTATTTTGCTAATTTGTTATTAGCAAAATGTTTTTCGAAAGAAAAAGAAAAGCACTAAAAATTAAAAGTGAAATGAGGCAAATCTCTAAAATAGCAATAGCGTGCTCCCAGTTTATTGAAAAAGTATACTCGAGAACAAAAAGCCCTGAATGTATTTGACCCCGTGAAATTTGAGAAAAAACCGTACTTGTGAAATGATCATCAAAAAGTCACTGATGAGACTTAATTTATATTAGCAATGGTTGTTACAACTTTATGTGCTTTTTCATGTTTGAAGTCCTTGGAGATTTGATTGAAACTTTGCTGAGTATTTTTGGTCTTGCAGGGCGTACTGAACTTGACTTTAGCAGTTGAAGGTATTCCAAGTTTTTTTTCAAATTTTTTTGACAGTGTCTATTTTTTCGTTGTAGGACAAATATACAAGGATATTTGATCATAGAAATCTTTTAGCGTGTTTTTTCACTGATTTAAATTTAAAAAAATCTGTAAAAAAAAATTAAACAACTCACACTTAATAAAATTTCAAAGTTTCAATAAATCTTGTGAAGACTTTTATATAAAATATGATGATTCTTATTGCTTTTTTTCGGTAAAAGCACTCAAGTTTGATCAAGCCAAACTTGATGACTTGATCGTTTGCTTTTGAAAATTTCATTTGATTAAGATCAGTTACAATTAATTTGCTTAAAAAAAGGCAAGTTACACCTTCATTTTAAGAAAAAAATATGATGCAGAAAAACGTGGAGGATTTTAGTTTCGAAATTTGTTCTTAATCTAAAAAATTTATGATACACTTTTCTTTATTTGGGCTAAATTTGAGTAAATTAAGTATTGGCAAAACAATGAATTTTAGACTGATGAATGATAAGTCTGATCTGACAAAATTTAAGCATTACGATTTGAGTTGTGTATTCAATTATTAAAACCAGTTAGCTGACTCAAATCAACATGGAACAATTTTGTAGAGCGAGATGATTGGCCACGCGTGTAATTTATATGAAGTGAGCTGTTTGAACAGATGTGAAGGCAAGAAACTGCAGTGACATGCACATACGGCTGAGCCCATGCAGATGCAATCCCCCGAGTGACCAGAGTTTTGTAAATTTACTCCGAACAAAGAAAAAACCACGCCAAGCATAACTTTCCTCATTTTCTTCAAAAATTTGAATAATATAAGATAGCCATATGTTGTAGAATTAGCACAGAAGAATGAGACGAAAACATTTTTTGAGAATATTTTAAGCAAACATTAAAAATATAAATAAACAAAAACAAAAATTCATTGAGCTTTTAATTTTTTTTGTTTAGATATAATTTGCAGAGGGCAATTAGCGTAGCACTGAAAGTAGAATTAATTATTGCTAAAAATACATTGAATTTTGCAGTGAATTTCAATGCCCATCCGATATTGAGTTCCCAATAAGAACAGAAAATGTATCATGAATGGTTCCTTGTTATTACTATAATATCGCTGATTTCATAAGGACCATCAAAAGCTACTGCAAAATGTTTTCTCGGTGACAAATTACATAATTTATTAATGATCGTTTCTTATTTTAATTAGATTTTCAGAAGATCAAAACAAATTATAATCTGTTTTTTCATTTTTTTGCAGAACATTGCTTCAAAAACTTATATATATTTTTTCAATTTTGAATTCGAGTTTCAAGAATTCAAGTTAATTTGCCATTTCGGAAAGTTTGTGAAGTTTTACATTTGAATTTGGATACATACTCCAAAACTTGATATTGGCAATGACTTGGAAGCTAATGATTTTTATACTTTTGAGTTCATATTTCTTTTCAGTTCAGATTTTACGACAAAATTGTTTTTTTTTCTACTAGTCTCTGAGAAATGAGCTCGATGCCTAAGTGACAAAATTTCCAGCTCTGAGAATAGCTATAAAGTTGAACAAGACTTTTCCTATCAGAGCGAAGCCATGAATGTTACGGCTGCCTTTTAAGGACTATGGAGCAGTAATAACATAAAAAATAAAATGAAATAATAAGAATTTTTTTTGAGTTTACGATTTTACAAAGTGATAGATTTTGCCACCCGAGCACAAATAATCCGTTAATTTCGTAAAATATATTATATAAGTTCATTGCTAATTCAGTGCTTTTAGCACTGAAATTCACTTTAGAAAAAAAGTATTTAGAAATTTATTGCTGACTCATTTAGAAATTTTTTGTTAAAATTTATCTTTCAGCTCTGAATATGTGCTGTTTGAGCACTGAAGTTTCCTATTCGGGTCAATATCTATTGCTAAATCATCAATTGTGATCGCCGCTTTTTCTTTTTTCATCGCTTATGTTCACTGTAAACTCAACTCGGGTGGTCAATATAATAAAAATTTAGGAAAATTTGGTCTGAAAAATTCAAAAAATTCTGACCAGTTCTCTCGGCACTTAGAAATGTTTTTTGAATCTAAATCTCAATTGAAAGGATTTTATTATGATGTCTCTTTTGATTATTTAGAAACTTTCGTTAGTCCAAATCGCAAAAAAAACACACCCTACAGCATGCGTGAAATGGTAGGAATAGTAATCAGAACAATTTGACAATTTGAACCCTAGTTTAGTGTTAATACCTCAATTATTGAAAAAAAAACAAGAAGTCAAAAAAAACAAGAGCTTTCATTTGACTTAACTAATTGGATTCTGTGAAATACAAAAATTTCAAAATATGGATGTGCTATGGAAACAAATGTGGCATCAAAAAGCTGATCAAAATAAGTGATCTGCTCCTTAAAACCGATAGTCTTGAGCTGTGAGTCAAAAAAGTTTCACAGGTTATTGTGACTTATAATTCAGATTGCGAAAGTCAATTATGAATGGCGTGAACAGAATGTACTGGAGCCACTTGACAGACGGAGGCAGAGCGGATGACGAATTTGAGTATTGGAAACATTCTCCCCAAGAAAAGCGACTCATTCCCTATCGCCGCCCGCCCCAGCTACCTCGAAGCAGATCAGACATCTGGATGCAGCACATGGTCATACCAGATGTAGTTTGTCTAGTGCAGGTAGTATACACAGGTTTCAATAACACCAACTAAATCGAAGTAATTTTTCGCTCAAAAGTCTAGTGCAAACGGGTCTTCTGAGAACTGATCTCAATGGTCGCATGGCATTATCTCAAACTTCTGGAAATCCAATGTTTATCGTACGACAGCTTTGTAGTTGTGTGGGCTTGAAAACAGCCTATATTCTTAATTTGATAGTAAAGTTTGGAGACAAAATAATTTTTTAGACTTAAACTGCTTTGGTTGTTTAAGCGTAAAAAATCGTAAGACTGGACTCGATCCAAACCAACAACCTAAAAAATAACCATCCTCTGTTTCTTTTAAATTCACGACAGAACCATCGACGAATCGGAAGCCCGATTTGGATAATTATTTTTTCCGTGGCACCCCTATGATTGAATACTTTATAGAATACAAATACTGCCGTTTTATTTTATTTTTTTTTTTACAAAACTTGCGATAGGAATAGAAATAGTTAACATTTCTTCGAAAATTATTATTTTTCCTAGCATTTCCAATAACTTTGATTGGTGCCTCCGATGATTATATCTGCTAGCTATTTCCTATATTTCTAGAATCAGAATAACAACTGTGATTTTTAGGAATACAGAGTACAAATTGATAACTTTTTTGCTGGGATACTCCACGAATAGCTGAAAAACATACAAAAACAAGGAAAATTGAACCAAATTGTTTTTTTTTCAAGATTTCATAAACAATTCTTTTCAGGGCTGGGAGGGTTACGGCTGCCGTGCGAACGAAAAAGTTCAGAAGGTGCGCGTGTTGGGTATCTACAGTCCCCCCTACTGGCTGGAATCAGACTACTCTGAGAAGGAGGGCTGTCTGGGACTGGCTTACATGGCCAGAGTGTTCACGCAGTTAGACCAGATAGGACAGCACGGGAAGAGAAACAGAGCAGAGGAAGGAATACAGAAAAAATGTGTCGATGGGTAAGGATCCAGGTCGAGGTTATTTCGACTTCATGTTTTTTACTAAAAAATCAGACATGTTGTTCAACCGGCGGTTCCAGAAATGCCAATGTTTCAAACAAGTTCGACCGCTAATGTAATCAACAATAAAACTATAATTTATGCTTTTCATAGGGTATTTTGTAGTAACGGTGGACCAGAACAAAAACATTACCTTCAGTGAGGCAAAGCATTCATTTTGGGTGTATCTTTTTTGAGTGTATCTTTATCTTTTTTGGGTGAAACAGTTTGAATTAAAAAACCTATAAATTCACGTTATTAGATAGTATACCACAAAACGGACGAGCTGTGTCGCTAAACAGGGGCGGATCAAAGATTTTCTTGAGGAGCGATTTTCAAAAAAAATCGAAAATTTTGTCGACCTTTTTTTAGGTCTTTCAAGTTGATTTTCTGAGTTCTCCTAAATCACTATAAAGACCCCATTTTGACCAAATTTTCTGCACCGCAGGCAAAAATTTGAAAAAAAAACAGGCCAAAAAAGGCATTTTTAGTTAGGCAATTTTTGGAAAATGTTGACCAAAAAAAAAACGTTTTTTTTTCGGCGCGAGCCAAAGGCGCCTTTAGAAAAATTTTAGGGTCCGTCACCAAAAATGGATATCTCAAAATAGTCCTTTGGGTCGGCAGGGGGTCGAATTCCTGAGAGAAAAGACTGGTGTCCCCAAATCCGCTGGTGTCGCTAAACACGATCTTATATCACGCAATGATTGTGAATATTATGATTTTCTCATTCTTGTTACTGAAAATTGTACCTACCATCCTTTAGTCTTCAAAATCAGGGTGACTTTTTAAAACGAAATATTAATTCTGGAATGAGTCATAAATTCTATTTCAGGTTTGGTCTGGAGCTGTTGCGCAAACTGGCTAGTGACGTCGGCTTCAAATACTCAGTGGCGGTGCTGAACAACTCTCAGTTCAGCCTTGGACAGAACTGGACACAAGTGGCTCAACTAGTCCATACAAGGGCCATAGATATCGTCATAGGCCAGTTTTTCGTTTGATTCAGGATAAAGCTTCAGTTTTGCCGAACCAGCTGTCACTGATCGCTTACTAAATCACTTTACTAGACACATGGTATTGCAGTTTTTCGTATGTATCCTATGAAATTTCTGTCTTAGAATTTACCAAAATGTTAAAGTTTTTTGATGTTTTCAGTGCGGTTTCTTATATCAGAAGCCTATACACGTGTAGCCGCTTCCAAAAGCTAGTTTAACTTTAACTATCTTTGGAAGCGGATTCACATGTATTAAACTTCCTTTTATAAGAAACCGCAAAACAAAGAGACTAACACAGTCCACAATGAACTTCTATTGCAACAAAGCAAATCGAAACGGCGATATCAGCTCATGATTCAATTCATAGTTTCAAATCATGATAGCTTTTGTTGAGGTTAACACTCATAAACATCGTATCAGCTCTTAGGTATATGAAATAGAATAAAATAAAAAAAATTTTTCTAAAATTTGAAATTTTTTATGAAAATCATCCCCCCACACGCCATATAAAGTACAAAAAGATAGATTTCGTTCCTTGTAACAAATCTATTATGGCAAATCAGCTTCGTTCAACCAATTTGGAACGATTTATAAGACGGATTAAATCTCGCTTACGCGTTAATAGCGCGAATTATATCGCGCGTTAATTGTCCCAAATTGGTCAAAATGGCCAAAATGGCAATCTTTAAACCCTTATAACTTTACAAAAAATGATCACAGGTGAAATATAATTTCAAATTTAAGCTCAGGACAACAATACCTTTTGAATGATATAAAAAAATTCCTTCAAAAATGGCTAGTTAAAAAGTCGAAATTTGTCTGAAGAAAAAAAAACCCACCCCGAGCACAAATATTCCGTTACTTTCGTATCGAAAGTCGGAACAAAAAGTTAGATGCTACTTCAGCTCAGTATTTAACTCAAAGTTGTAATAATTTTTTGAATTTTGTAGTGAGAAAAGAAAGCAAACCAAGAAGACGGAATCAGCCCACGGTTAATTTTGAAGTTCCAAATTTCCGCACTTGAAGTAATTTCAGGGCCAAAAATTTAAAAAGTAAGAAATAAGCAGAACCGATACAAACGTTTTACGAGTTTGTGTTCTTAAGGTTATACTTTGAATCTGTTCATAAAAGTTTTATCATTTTTTTTTGGTCTAACAGGGCTTAAAGAAATTACTAGTATGAGTTCATTGGCATGATTGAATAAGTGTGAGCAAAACCTTTTGACAGTTTTCACAGCGCTTGCTTCATTTTCAGGTTTGAAAGCAGATGCTAACCATTTAACGTCCTCTCTAATGTACTATCAGATTTTTTTTTTTGATTTTTTATAGACTTTTTTCGTCATCTTCACTTCGTTTGTTATCTCAGCTCGATAATCAGAAGGGTATTTGCCTGGACCAATTGGAGACTGCGCGTAATTTGTTATCGGAGAATCCAACTAATTTCTTATTTATAGGTTTGGTAAAAAAAAATTTTTCGTTGCTGCGGTACTGAAAATAGTTTTGTGAGATTTCCTACAAAAAAATTTCAAAAATGTTTATTCGATTTTCTCAAAACAATTTCTTAGAATCAGCTTTAAAGTTCTTCGCTGTCGCGACGTACAATAACACAAACTCTTTGCCCAAAAAATTAGTTTTGCTACATGAGTTACCGGAACACGCACTAACTTGGCAGAGTGAGTGTTTTGCAGGTTTTTGCAGATTCTTAGTCAATAAGCACTTACACCCCCCATTCAACATGTCATAAGCTATATGACATGATTCGTCAAAACTGATTTTTATTATTTCCAAAAAAAATTTCAACCACTAATTACGTATAACTAAGAGACTAATTTTTTTTGTTCAAAGTGCATGCGTTATAGTCGCTATCTGAACATTTTAACATGCAGAAAATTGAAAGAAGAGTAACTTTTTCATAAATTGATTTCTATCTGTTATTACTGTATAGAAGAAAGGGTTCCCCCCTTTTTAACTCTAAGCAACTTAATACCCTACAATTTCACTCCCTACTTTTGTTGCCTTAGCAATTTAACATCGCTACATTTTAAAACAATTTCTACGACTTCACACCGTTTTAAACCAAAATGAAAAGAAAATTTACTTCAAAGGGGATTTCGGTTACCAACAGAGAATTAAACGAGAGAAATTTTTGCCATTTAAAGCCAGACAAATTCGCGCTACTTAATTTGCCTAAGTTTTGAACAGAAATGACCTTGCAAATGATTTCATTGAAGCGTTTCAAACCAAAATGAAATGGCCTTGCTTTTTCAATGAATCATTCCAAAATGAACCAAAAACAAGCAAAAGTTCAATGAACTTCAAAAGCCCGCAAAGAATTAGACGTCTTTTGACTAATATGGCCTAATTTTTTAGACATTTTCAGCCGGTATAGAAATTCAAAAAAGGTTTAACCGATGCCAAAAGCCTAAAAATCAATATTTTTAGAATCATTCTCGAACTTAAACTTATGACCTGATCGCTTTGTCAGCATTTTTTGAACTCTCGGCATTTTGGGGTCGCCGCACAAAATGATTCCCTCATGATCATTTGATCCACTGTCATACCGGATAAAAAATTTTAAAAGTTCCAGGGATCTCGAAATTTCGCGCAATCGGGATGGGCGGCATATTTACATCTAGCTGCTTACGAGTGCGTGCAGCCGTTCGGATCAGTTTGTCTTTACTTGGGAGAACAAACTGAGTGGCCAAATCGTTTGTAATTGGCAAAACCGCACTGGCAACTGCAACAGTCTGGGTAAATCTCTCGCCGAGATCTTTTGCATGCTTTATGACATTTCGGGCCTCCAAGTTTCCCGCTGAAATGTCGTGGTTATGCTCTCCACGCGTCTCGATTAATTCGTTATTTTCAGTAATGGGAGTTGCTCGACATTTATGTGTTTGATATTTTGAGCAAATCCAATTTTCTGTAAGCTTATTTTTTTGCTTGAAATAAAATTCGTGGCCGGACATTATAAGAATTGGCTTGTTTTTAGATGAAACTGTGAACTCGAAAGAATACTCAATCATAATGTGTTTATTGTGCTTGCGTTTGTTTATCACTTGAGGAAAGTATAAAGTGACTGTCAGATTTTTTTGTGTCAGAATTTTTACGTCAAAATGTTATAAATTAGCACAAGCAGCTTTTTGTTTAGTAATCATAATGGTTTAGCGAAAAATTTAAATGAAAATAAATTACAAACTTGTAGAAAAGAGTATTGAAAAAATTAGGAAGCCTCCTTTTAGCATGCATAACTAAGATAAACCAAGTTTTTCATTATGGAGCTTGTGTTAATTGCAGGATTAACTTTGGTGTGATAAGATTTAAGATAAGGAATTCATACAGCGTTAATTTTAATAGTGAAATGACTAGGTGTTAAAATGTACTGTGTTAAACTGGAAAATAGGAGTTATATTGTTGTCGATTTAAATTGTTTCGTAGTGAAATGATTGAGTGTTAAAATGTACGGCGTTTAATTGTATGTCATTAAATTTTAGGATACCAGAAGAAAGTTGTAAGGTAGCGGAAGAAAAATTTCTGCAAATCATATAGGAAGCTAAGATAGGTGATTGTTTTGTAGGATGGTCAACCCAGGCTCTATCACAGAAGACACGCCATCGTGGTTTAACTATCCAAATTCAATAAAAAGATCGTTTTAAAAAGTTTTGGACTCAAGTTCATAGTCGCCATGGCTCATGATCGCTACTAGCGATATCATAAACCACACAAACAAGTACAATCTCTCTTCAAACAAGTAAAAAAGTCCCTAAAGAAGTACAAATGTCTTCAATTTTAATGCAGCCGCATTAGATGAAAAAACTAGACTAAAAAGTAAGCTTAACTTGAAAAAACTAATCACTTTTGACACAAAAAGTCAAAAGTCATTAAATTTCTCTCCGTAGTCTGGGAAGAATTTAAATCATATCTGACTTTTTGTTTCTTGGTTTTTTTTTTCAAACTAATTGCCTTGTTGTAGCATTGATGTTTTGGATTTTTCTCTTTTTACTTTTGGAACTTTACCGGTTCGAGTTCTTTCCTTAACTATTTGTAACCTTTAGTTGCGATGGTTTAAAATTTTTACTGGTTGTTTTTTGAATCGGAAAATGTTCACGCCAATTTTGACGGTACTAGTAGAAAAAACTTTTTTTGAATTTTTTGGAATCAAATCAAAATCACAGGTTAAAGGAGTTCAATACGATGCCGAAATTGACCCCAACAATTTTTTCTTGATTGCGATAGTCAAAATCATGAATTGAAAACACCCAGTTTCTTTCGTGAATTGGTCGAAAAAATATGATAACTAACCCGAAACAACCAGTTGCCTATATACACATCAATTATAACTTATTGTCAGATAGTCACTCTGATGCTTCATTTCAAAACTTGTCTTGATAGACAAAATAGCTGCTGAAAGTTTTTCAAAAGGAGCAAACGTTGATTTTTAAATTCCTATGCCAAAAGTGTTTTTGAAATTTGGTATAATTGAGTAAAGATGCACTTAAGAGTCATTTAAATGGCAATATTACAAAATGATTAAATGTTAGTAGACAAAAAAAACATTGAACATGCGGGGATTATAGTTCGGAGCACCGTACCTTCAGAATGAATTCGAAATGACTTTTTTCACCTGTTGAACTTTCAAAAAAAAACATTGTTGCAGGTCAGATCCCGGCCTCTGTGGCTCTTCTACAGCAAGTCTCTTTCAGCACTCCTTACAGATATGACTCCCTCTGCATCACTGTACAACGCAGGTTCCAGGTATCTGTCATTCTCAATCTTCACTCACTTTTATGTGAATTATTTGTTGCGGTTTTTTTATTACAGTCTATAATATCTAAGTTAATAAAAAAGGCGAATAGATTTTATGAAGATGTCACCCGACAGGCTGATGCGTTATTGTTTTTCGCTCAAGCCGAATCAAATTATAAACATACACTTTTATAGAAAGTTTCTGACTTAATCATACACCTACTCGATTGCAGAAATTAAATGGGCAATCTACGATTGCATTCAACATTTGTCGGAAGGAATTTTCTAGTGCTTTAGAATATAAAATTGCTGTCTAAGATTTCAAAAACTAATCAGAAAAAAAATCCCGGAGTCGAGAAAGGTGACTAAGAAGGTGACTAATTGCAGGGAGCCACTTTGACCTCATTTCTGCGACCTCTGAACGTGGGAATGTTTGTGTCCATTTGCATCACAGTGAACACAGTGGCCATAGGTATGGCCTGTCTGGAATGGAACAGTCCCTTTGGTCTCACGCCCAGAGGAAGAAACAGAAGCAAGGTCATACAAGTGGCCATACAATACAATACATGTGATGACTCTTTTATAGTGTATTGGGAGACTAGCTCAAAGTATCAATTTTAGTCGACCTGAAAAAAAAATGTTGATAAAGTTTTCATCACCCCTTTTATAAACACCTTATTATATAAGCACCTTTAGTATTTTTCGTACAGTATATCAAGTAAATGTGATCTGACTATTTGATCTGCAAGATTGTGAGGAAACATAGCTCAGTGACTGAAAGTTTTGGTACTATTTTAACAATTCAATTTTGGGCTGACCGATCTAAATTTTGTCTGAAGGAGCGAACATTATATAAAATTCTAGCTGAAGGAGCGAACATCATATAAAATTCTAGCTGAAGGAGTAACATTATATAAAAAATTTGTCGGAATGCTCGCCAAAAAAAACGAATGTTTTGGGTCAAAATTTTTTTATAAAAGTGACTAAAATGTGCCTGTTTTTTTTCAACCATTTGCCCACGATGAAAAAAATTTGGGCTAAATAGGATCTTTTTTTGATTTCGCAAAAATCAACCTCACACCCCCCTCCCCCCTCCCCCTCAAGAAAACACTAGATCCGTCCCCTAAACTCAGTGGTATTATATTTACTAAAGCGTATCCAATCTGTGCGAGCGGCGGTAGCAAAAATCTTTGGTGTGTCTAAGTAACTGTGGGCCTCGATTTATGGTAATGTATGGCCACCTATGGCACAGGTGTTCTCTCTGCCCTCTGCGTTGACTCTCTGCTGGAGTATTCTGTTGGGCCACACTACTGATTCCAGTGAGTATATACAGATCATTATTAAATAATTTTAACATTTGGACTGTTCGCTTCATTTTTGAGCCCCCAAAAACCCAAGTTTAATGTATCAACTTTTGCGAGTAAAATGTGGTATATTTCGACTGTTTAAACCAAAATTGGGTTTGTTTGACCTGGGGTATGTTTTCAACGACTAAAAATTTTACCTTTTTTAATGAAAAATGTACGCTCGACTCTGCTTGACCGATTTCAGTTATACTAGCAAACACGTTTTCATTAATCAATCGGCTCGCAGAAAGCAATGAATCTTTGAAATGATTCAAATGTGTTTTAGCTTGAACCGGGGTTCAAGTATGATAGTTGGGTCTCAGAAAAACAGCAAGTATGAAAAATGGGTTCAGCAATTTTTTGTGAAAAAATCAAAAACACAAGTAAACAGATGAGAACCATGTCTTCAAACATTTTAAGACTTAATTATTGTTCTTCCGGGACTCAGCTAACATTAAGGTTCTCAACTAAAATAGTTGTAAATGAACCGGTTTGCAATACTTGTCTAAGCGATGAATAAATTAAAATTTTCAATCTAATTTATACAGTGAATCAGTTCGAAAAACATCGAAAATCTCTCAGTAAGCCATTCAATTCAAATTTTGAAACTTTTGAAAATTTTGTACACTGAAAGGAATGGCAAGAAGCTATTTTATCTAATCTAGCCAATAAAATGGTGATTTAAACAAAACTAAACAAAGTAACGTGATAGCACCCCACTTTAGTGCTTGGAATTTCAAACAATGTGCAGTTTCTTAAGCATATGTTTTGCGAAAATTTCAATTCTCAAAGTGAAAAAATTTGAAAAAAAGGTCGTAGCTCGGTAGACGAAAGATTTTGAGCAGCCAATTTTTAAGGCAAGATTTGCAATATCTTTGGAGTTCTCTGACAGCAACCCAATATAGTTTGGAAACGGGAAATTTTCAAAAAGTTTTTGCAATGTAAGGTTTCCTGAAAAATTAGAGCTGGGAGTGTCAAATTTTGATAGGTTTTTGAAAAGTTTATTTTATCGGAAAATTTGAGAAAACAATTTTCACGTTTCGTGAACTAAAATCCTTAATTTAATTTTATTGTTTTTATTTATGTCAAAGATGTTATTTTTTATGTCAAAAACTTTCCATAAATAATAACATCTGTCTTATCTTGGAAGCTAATATGTTTCGTTCAATCAAATTTCGAGACAGTATTTGCAACCTCTAAGAGTATCATGACAGCACTCAACTATAGGGCGGGAAACATCCAATTTTGCTAGGTTTTGAAAATTTTAGTTTTTTTATTAAAAAAACCAAATATTGTTATAATTTTAAACTAAAAATATTTGAATATTCAATTTTGGAGGTCGATTTTGCAACCCCCGGGAGAATCTTAAGAGGTCCCCAAATCCCAACATAGGGTTGCTAATTTTAAATCTTGTGACGTTTTTGACTTCTATATTTTCAAATGATTTTTCAAAATGTCATGGAAAAAACATCAAAACTTGGAAGCCAAAAAAGTTTCAGCAGACATATTTGAAAGCAAGATTTGCATTTCCTCAAAAAACCCTTCGAGTATCCGACAAAAGATTGAGAATATCCAAGTTTCTTAAGTTTTTCAAATCTGAATGTTTTAAAAAATGTCATAACTTGGAGGTCAAAAGAAATTGAGCAGATATATTTAGAAGCAAAGTTTGCAAGCCTGAAAAGCAGCCTGGAAGCACCCAATCATAGCATTGCTAAATTTTATTTTTGCAAAGCTCTAATTATAAACATATTAGAAAATTTTTCAAAAAAATTAGAAAAATTTCATATCTCGGAATCCACATTGATTTGAGCAGACATATTTGAAAGGAATACTTGCAAATTCTGAGAATACCGTGACCGCGCCCAATTTGAATTGAAATTTTCAAATTTAACGCAGTTTTTTAAATCCTTGTTTTATGAAAATTTTTAAAAAATTACAAAAATTGTCATATTTCGTAAGCAAAACGGTTTGATTAATGGTTTCAAATTCGGAGGTCGATTTTGCAACCACCAAATAAACCTTGAGAGCATCTGAATATGGTGCGCATTTTAAAAATAATTTGTGAAATTTTTACCTCTAAATTCAAAAAATCATAAAAACGTCATATTTCGGAAGCTAAACAGATTTGAGCAGACATATTTGGATGCATGATTTGCAACCCATGAGATTATCCTGACAGCATCCCACTATAGGTTTCAAAATATAAAATTTAATTTTTGATGTTGGCCTTTCAGTTCTTGAAATTTGAAATAGTTTCACAATAATCTGTCTAGAAATTTGTCCTTGACCTAAGGAAAGATCTTGCGTTGAAATTTTTCTAAATTTTGGATTGAAAAAAAGCTTCTAAAATATTGATGATATTCGCTTAAATATTGTCTCTAACGCCTTCTGTTCACCATTCTTCCGTATGAAAATCGCTTAAGCATGGTGTCCATAGAGTATTTTGCGTTGCGTTTAAATAATAGATTTCGACTGCATGCATCCATTAAGATTAGGTATGTATTGACTGTCTTCAAATTATATATGCTTAGAGGGTCTCGAATGTTACCAAAAAAGAAAAAATGTACAAATTTTTGTTCTGCTAGCTCAGCTATGTTCAGATTTCTTTCGATCAAAAAGGCGCGTCTATCGTTTTTCTCGATAGAAAAAGTGTACTCGTATGAAATGTCTAATTTTTTTTAAATCATCTTGTTGTTCCGACCTTGAAAGGGTAATTCACTTTGCATTTGAATATACTTCATTTTTCTAAAATATTTTTAATGCAAATTTCAAACTCAGGCAACACAAATTCGGGCACCCCCACACCATCATACCTTTTGGTATTGTTTTATGACACCCATTTTCGGCTGACCAATTCTAAAATTATTAAATACGCCTTGGGCGCAAATATATACTAATTTTGAAAGGAAGCACTCAACAAAAAATACATTTTTTTTGGTGAATTTTTTCACAAAAAGTGCCTAAAAACGGCAATTTTGGCCTGATTTTTAAACAATTGCCTGCGGAGCAAAACTTTTATGAAGAGAGGGTCTTTATAGTGTTCTGGGAGTGCTTGGAAAATCAATTTGGTTGTGCTTAAGAAAAGTTCAACCAAGATTTCAAAAGTTCAAAATTCCCTTTCGAGAAAATCCTTGTTTTTATGATAATTTCTTCAAATTATTTTTTCAAATAGCTGTTTTTCTTTCCATTTTGATTTAATTTGTCTTTACAAGAAATGAAAAAAAAACGAAAAAAAAATGCTTTAAAATAATTTTTGACCAGTTTTTTTTTTACAGAAATCAAGCTTTTTTCACGAAAAAAACTGAATGCAAAAGCTATTTTCAATGCTCAAAGTTTGTGCATGTTTTATCAGCGCACAAAGTGGCTGAAAGGAACTATGGCATTTGGAGTATTTTTCCCGGCCGGTTTTGACTAGATCAAAGAAATATAATGTCGAATGGGCTATTACATGACAACATTTTGGTCGTTGTTTCAGCTGTGCTCAAACTCTATAATATGAATTTTCTCGGCAATCATGTTACTGTTTCACTGTAATTGCTCTGCATCTAGCTTTCGGAACCAGAAAGTGCTCGACTTGAAATATACTCCTGATTTCATTTATCCGGACAAAACGAACAAATTTTGAACAAACTTTCAAACGCGCTTTTCTCAGATTGGCTTAAGATGATACTAAAAAGTGAAGATAACAAAAGTTGCTTTAAATTCAACCAAAAATGATACGATGACTTTTTAAAAAATTCTCACCCAATTTTCTACCTCAAAAAATGGCTATTATTTATTTTAAAATTATTTTAAAAGTACGCTGAAACTACAGAGTTAATTGATAAAAAGTCTATATCAAAAGAAGCCTCTTACACAGCCTACCAAAGTAATTTACTGGAGCCAGGAAATTTACTTGAAAAAATGCTCCTTTGAGTGCTGTTTTTCGGACTTGAAAAAGTCATTGCCGATCAAATCATTGAAACAGATCTTGCTCTAAAAAGCTAGATTTATAAAAAATGCTGATGCGTTCGGCAGTGAAAGTTTCATTGACTGAATATCTAATTTGAGCGCTTTGTTTTCACTGTAATTATCAGCAAGCCGAACCACAGCTCAAAAACCGCCCCAGAAAATCTCTCAAAAGCGCTCCAGGGAGTTTTGCCTTCAAACCGCTGAAAAAACGCCCAAATAAGACCAAAACTAGAGCGCGTTTGAGCTATTGGGACTAATATCAAAATACCGTCCACTTTAGTCTTGCATCAAAGTTGGCAAAAAACACCATCAACTCGGTTGGTTCTCGCAGGTACTCCGAAGTCGTGGAGTGCTCGCTGGCTGATGAATATGTGGGCGGCACTTTGTGTGTACTTTCTGGCCTCCTACACGGCCAAATTGGCAGTCTACATGATAGGCAGGACCACCTACCTACACCTCAGTGGAATAAACGACCCCAAGGCTAGTCCATAAATGGAGATATAAAAACAAATGCAGTATGGCCGGCGTAGCTTTTTGTCACAAAGTCATGCAACGCGTTGTTGATGGATGCAAATTTTGTTCCAAAATACCATTATTTTTTGAAACCAAAAAAATAAGGCAGTAGAAATCATCATTTCTGGCCCAGTAATATTTTAAATTAAAATTCGTTGGAGAAGAATCATTTCCAAAACTCAATTCACTTATATCATTTTTCTTTGTTTCTGGCTATTATGATTTTCTTTAAATTCAAAACTTTTTTCTTTAAATTCTTTAGATTCTTTCCGGCGAAGTGTTACTTGGCACTGTGGAAGGTAGCTACGCACACGAGCATCTGGAGAAATTCTACGAGTTCCAGCCAGACCAGGCCCACCCACATTATTCAGCTGATGAGGGAGTAGGGGGGAACGGGAAACAACTGAAACTATACAACAACTTATCACACGCCCTCTCTTCATTACAGTTAGTAGAGTTAGTACCCGGGATTGAAAGAAGCCAATTATGCAATTCCATATTTGCAGTGTATGATAAGCATTTTTACATTGCCACACAAAAATCTCAAAAGTTCCTATTCGCTTTTGGAAAACTAGATAAAAAACTCGTTTCGTGGGAAATTAAGGTAAAAGCTATCAACTTGTAAAAATTGTATCAGATGGAAGAATAGCTTGGAGTCAAAAGTAATAGAATACTGATGATATCTGTTTACAATTTTTTTATTTTTGCAAGTTCAAGTATAGCAAATAAATTTTCTGTTTTTCAGATTTATTAAATTTTTTTCAGCAAAAATAAATTTTCCGACTAATAGTTATCAATTTTCTTCTAAGTTGCTCTAACTTTTTTATTCTTAATTACTGTCATAAAAAAGTAAAAATGAAAGGCATTGGAGCTAGTTAAGCTAGTCAAAAATCAAAATCCAAATTATATAAGTTAATGCCACTGATAAATAATACCTCGCATTTTCCATAAAAGGTAAAGGAGCTAGTTAAGCTAGTCAAAATTCAAAATCCAAAATATATAAGTTCATGCCACTGATAAATAATACCTCGCATTTTTCCATAAAAGGTAATGGAGCTAGTTAAGCTAGTCAAAATTCAAATTCCAAATTATATAAGTTCATGCGACTGATAAATAATACCTCGCATTTTTCCATAAAATATAATGGAGCTAGTTAAGCTAGTCAAAATTCAAAATCTAAAATACATAAGTTCATGCCACTGATAAATAATACCTCGCATTTTTCCATAAAAGGTAATGGAGCTAGTTAAGCTAGTCGAAATTCAAAATCCAAATTATATAAGTTCATGCCACTGATAAATAATACATCGCAATTTTCCATAAAAGATAATGGAGCTAGTTAAGCTAGTCAAAATTCAAAATCCAAATCATATAAGTTCATGCCACTGATAAATAGTACGTCGCATTTTTCCATAAAATGTAATGGAGCTAGTTAAGCTAGTCAAAATTCAAAATCCAAATTATATAAGTTCATGCCACTGATAAATAGTACCTCGCATTTTTCCATAAAAGGTAATGGAGCTAGTTAAGCTAGTCAAAATTCAAAATCCAAATTATATAAGTTCATGCCACTGATAAATAGTACGTCGCATTTTTCCATAAAAGGTAATGGAGCTAGTTAAGCAAGTCAAAATTCAAAATCCAAAATATATAAATTCATGCCACTGATAAAAAGTACCTCGCACTTTTCCATAAAAGGTAATGGAGCTAATTAAGCTAGTCAAAAGTCAAAATCCAAATTATACAAGTTCATGCCACTGATAAATAATACCTCGCATTTTTCCATAAAAGGTAATGGAGCTAGTTAAGCTAGTCAAAACTCAAATTCCAAATTATATAAGTTCATGCGACTGATAAATAATACCTCGCATTTTTCCATAAAATATAATGGAGCTAGTTAAGCTAGTCAAAATTCAAAATCTAAAATACATAAGTTCATGCCACTGATAAATAATACCTCGCATTTTTCCATAAAAGGTAATGGAGCTAGTTAAGCAAGTCGAAATTCAAAATCCAAATTATATAAGTTCATGCGACTGATAAATAATACCTCGCATTTTTCCAAAAAATATAATGGAGCTAGTTAAGCTAGTCAAAATTCAAAATCTAAAATACATAAGTTTATGCCACTGATAAATAATACCTCGCATTTTTCCATAAAAGGTAATGGAGCTAGTTAAGCTAGTCGAAATTCAAAATCCAAATTATATAAGTTCATGCCACTGATAAATAATACATCGCAATTTTCCATAAAAGATAATGGAGCTAGTTAAGCTAGTCAAAATTCAAAATCCAAATTATATAAGTTCATGCCACTGATAAATAGTACCTCGCATTTTTCCATAAAAGGTAATGGAGCTAGTTAAGCTAGTCAAAATTCAAAATCCAAATTATATAAGTTCATGCCACTGATAAATAGTACGTCGCATTTTTCCATAAAAGGTAATGGAGCTAGTTAAGCAAGTCAAAATTCAAAATCCAAAATATATAAATTCATGCCACTGATAAAAAGTACCTCGCACTTTTCCATAAAAGGTAATGGAGCTATTTAAGCTAGTCAAAAGTCAAAACCCAAATTATACAAGTTCATGCCACTGATAAATAATACCTCGCATTTTTCCATAAAAGGTAATCGAGCTAGTTAAGCTAGTCAAAATTCAAAATCTAAAATACATAAGTTCATGCCACTGATAAATAATACCTCGCATTTTTCCATAAAAGGTAATGGAGCTAGTTAAGCAAGTCGAAATTCAAAATCCAAATTATATAAGTTCATGCCACTGATAAATAATACATCGCAATTTTCCATAAAAGATAATGGAGCTAGTTAAGCTAGTCAAAATTCAAAATCCAAATCATATAAGTTCATGCCACTGATAAATAGTACGTCGCATTTTTCCATAAAATGTAATGGAGCTAGTTAAGCTAGTCAAAATTCAAAATCCAAACTATATAAGTTCATGCCACTGATAAATAGTACCTCGCATTTTTCCATAAAAGGTAATGGAGCTATTTAAGCTAGTCAAAAGTCAAAATCCAAATTATACAAGTTCATGCCACTGATAAATAGTACCTCCCATTTTTCCATAAAAGGAAATGGAGCTAGTTAAGCTAGTCAAAATTCAAAATCCAAATTATATAAGTTCATGCCACTGATAAATAGTACGTCGCATTTTTCCATAAAAGGTAATGGAGCTAGTTAAGCAAGTCAAAATTCAAAATCCAAAATATATAAATTCATGCCACTGATAAAAAGTACCTCGCACTTTTCCATAAAAGGTAATGGAGCTATTTAAGCTAGTCAAAAGTCAAAATCCAAATTATACAAGTTCATGCCACTGATAAATAATACCTCGCATTTTTCCATAAAAGGTAATGGAGCTAGTTAAGCTAGTCAAAATTCAAAATCCAAATTATATAAGTTCATGCCACTGATAAATAGTACGTCGCATTTTTCCATAAAAGGTAATGGAGCTAGTTAAGCAAGTCAAAATTCAAAATCCAAAATATATAAATTCATGCCACTGATAAAAAGTACCTCGCACTTTTCCATAAAAGGTAATGGAGCTATTTAAGCTAGTCAAAAGTCAAAATCCAAATTATACAAGTTCATGCCACTGATAAATAATACCTCGCATTTTTCCATAAAAGGTAATGGAGCTAGTTAAGCAAGTCGAAATTCAAAATCCAAATTATATAAGTTCATGCCACTGATAAATAATACATCGCAATTTTCCATAAAAGATAATGGAGCTAGTTAAGCTAGTCAAAATTCAAAATCCAAATCATATAAGTTCATGCCACTGATAAATAGTACGTCGCATTTTTCCATAAAATGTAATGGAGCTAGTTAAGCTAGTCAAAATTCAAAATCCAAATTATATAAGTTCATGCCACTGATAAATAGTACCTCGCATTTTTCCATAAAAGGTAATGGAGCTATTTAAGCTAGTCAAAAGTCAAAATCCAAATTATACAAGTTCATGCCACTGATAAATAGTACCTCGCATTTTTCCATAAAAGGAAATGGAGCTAGTTAAGCTAGTCAAAATTCAAAATCCAAATTATATAAGTTCATGCCACTGATAAATAATACCTCGCATTTTTCCATAAAAGGTAATGGAGCTAGTTAAGCTAGTCAAAATTCAAAATCCAAAGTATATAAGTTCATGCCACTGATACCTAATAAGAGTCTATAGTTGTGATCATACGTAAAAGTTGGTAAAATAAATGTGAGAAAATTTCTTGATTCTTATCTGAAAAACTTTTAATGTTTTTCTGCATCAGGGTTTTTTTGTGGTTTTTTGCACTGAGTTACACCGGATGGATGAATTGAAAAACCAATCTGCTGTATCTTTCATCTTCCAAAAAAAAACAAGTTTTGTCTTTAACTTTCTGGCATATTAAAGTTCTTGAATAGTTGCTCCAAAATTAATTTTTGTCCTTATATTTTGTCATAAGAAGTTGATAAGTTAGGAAGTATTGGAGCCACTAACAGCAATTAAATTTCAAAACACACAAGCCTAAAGAACTTTAAATTTGAGACTCTATTTTTTGCCATGTCTCTTATAACACTCGTAAGCTGCTGATTGATGCGTTTTAATTTGAACTGAGGAAAATAATTTGGTCTTATTCTTAGGGCAGACTCTAAACACATCCTTTACTATTTAACATTTGTTTGTGGAGAAATAGATTGAACAGAAACTGTTTTGAAATTGTTTCTGCAGTTTTTTTTTGATATTTGATTTGTCAAGTTTGCGAGCAGAAAATTTTTTGATTGACCTTAAAGTGCTGTCGAGTCGAACATTTAGTGCTTCGCCCTGATATAAGTTCAGTATTGTTACCAGGTAAATCTGTCGCCAATTTAGTATCAATCCTCAGAGAATTAAGTTGATCAGATTTTTATGAAATATTTGTGAAACATCACTTGGTACTTAAAAGCTTGTGGGGGATTTGAAATAAAATATTCAAACGATTTTTAAAGTTTTTTTTTCTGTTTTGGTTGTGAACATATTTAAATAATTTTTGTTCCAAAAAGCTTGTGACAATAGAGGGCTATTAAGAAACTCAGGACTTTCACTGGATATACTAGCAGTCTTATTTGTGCTTGGTGTCGTTTTTTCTCCGAATGATTTTCGACTGCTGGCTAAGCAAAATAACTATATGATTTCATCTGAGAAAATTCATTACTATGGTTTTAAATTTAAAATATACTTTAACCTAGAGTTATTTGTTGGATGGCTAAAATTAATCGAAGATTCCCTTCAAATAGATAAGAGAAAAGCTGCTAACTGATACAAGGATCGCCCTAATAGCCGCAACGCTTATCGTTTTGTGATTGGCTTTAAGTGTGGTGGAAATTTCGAAAAAAAAACATATCAAATTCCGTCCCGCACTGACAAAAAAGATTTCGGATCGAATTAAATTGATTTTAGATCGATTTTAAATCAATCAAAATTGATTAACAATGTACATTTAACGAACTTAAATGGATTTTAAATCGATTTAAATCGATATTTTTGAGAATTTTTAATTGATTTAAGTGTCTAAAAAATCAATTTAAATCGATTTGGATGGATTTTCCGACTCACTATAATCCATCCGAAACTCACTTAAATCCATTTTAAGTCAATTTAAATCGATCTTTTCGAAAATTTTAAATTGATTTAAGAGTCTAAAATATCGATTTAAATCGATTTGGATGGATTTTCAGACCCACTAAAATCAATTTTTTTGCTAACAAGGCGAAAAAAGCACCCTTTAAAATATTGTTGGAATTTTTTATTCTCGGTTTTTTAAATATAAACACTCGTGCCAGATGTTATAGAATTCAATAAAATGATCCACATAAATCAGATTTTGAGCTCGAAAATAGACAATGAAATTATGGAAAAGTAATGAAAAAATCCTATGTAACAAAGAAGAAGGTCAGAAAAAATTAAAATTTGACCTCATTAATATGCAATTAAATCATAGAGAATTTTGAAGATAAGTCAGATTTCGAGCAAAATTTATAAAACGAATCAAGAAAAGGATCAATGTAGATCAGTTTTTGAACTCAAAATATGCAAGAAAATTAAAGAAATTTATCAATATTTTGGTCTTTTTGTTTGGCTTTTTTATGCTACAATACGCCATGGATGTAAAATGAAAAATGATAGGCAAAAAACAAATGCAATAAAATTTCAAAACTGATAAATCTCGAATGAAAAAAATCGATTTAAATCAATTTGATTCCGTTTTAATCCCCTTAAAAATAAAAACAAATTCAGACTGAAAAAAATGCATTTAAATTGATTTAAAATCGATTTGGATCAATTTTTTTAGCTGCTATTTAAGATCAATTTAATCGATTTTAAATCGATCCAAATCAATCTTCATCTTTTTTATTTAATCTTTGTACTTTTTCTCATACTAAAATCGATCTAAATTTAATCAACGCACTTTTTTCACACTAAAATCGATCTAAATTTAATCAACGTACTTTTTTCATACTAAAATCTATCCTAATCCATTTTGGTCACTGCGGGGTAGCCGATCTCTTGTTTAGGAGTGGGGACATAGATGGGATTGTGTTTGCGAGGGGAGTGATGGAGCACTTGGTGTCCTCCAACTTCCACTGCAGACTCTACATTGTGGGCAACCCATTCGCACACATTCAATATTCCATCATGCTCAACAAACACGACCTACAGTAAGTATTTCAATTACAGTTAGAGGGCAAATGATCAAATGTGAAACTTTTACTTAATAATCAAAGCTAAATTTGATTCTGTGAATTGGTATTTTGATTATTCGAATAATCGACGAGTTACCAGGAAAATGTGAGTCGTATTTTGTTGTGTTTTTGGTCTCAGACGTGGTTCAACCTCTACCTGGGCATCTACCACAGCAACATGCAGATTGAGGACATGTTGGACAAGTGGCGCAAGGGGGTGCAGTGCGACCATGACTCACAGCCCCTTCTGGTAGAACCCCAGCTGAGTGTCAACCACTGCCTCGGTCTCTTCCTCATGCTGCTCATTGGAGTCGCACTCGGCCTTATAGGTAGGGGGGGGGGGCAAAGTGGTTTGTTGTTCGTATGAAATTTGATCACTTTTAATTGCCAAACAAAATACAAATTGACTAACTTGAAAAAAATTTAAAACTGAGCTCGAAGTAAATAAAAAAATTGATTCTTAAGTTTCGCTGTTACTTGAATAATGCGGCTATTTTCTCATTTTTAGACGAAAATAGACAAAAGATTCGAAGCATTTAGGGTGAGTGTTCTTGTGTTTAAAGGCAACATGGTAGAAAGAGTGGTGGGTTGGATGGTGAAGAGAAAGTTGGCCAAGGACCCCGGAGGAAGGAAGTGGCTGCTAAACTTCGTCAGACCCCTCTCTCAAGTACGTTTTCCACACCCCCCCCCCGCAACCACATTTGAGTTTCGAGTTTGTTAGAGCCGTTTATTTTATTGTGATCATGCGTAGGAATATTCTCTCATGTTTATTCTATGATAAATCTTGAAAGATTTCAGGCTTCTTAAAAGAATTACCGACATGATAAATTTTCTCAGCTAGGAATTTTGCCTCAGATTTTTTTCACACAGATTTGTACAGTCTCTGAATGTCAAAACGTTTCAAGGGCCCGTGATTTGCAGCCAGAAATTAGTGCAATTCTCTCACTCGCTCTGTAGATCTTCCATTTAATTCTGCTTGGCACTTTTTGTTTCACCGTTAAGGACGTGAATGAGAGGTTGATCAAACATTTACAGAATTTTTTGCAATTACTGGATTCTCTAAATCCAGAAATGCAAAAGCTTCTGTAAATATTAGATCAATCTGCCCTTAATGATCTAAGTTTTTTTTTGCATTTCTGTGATGTCACAATTGAAGGGAAAGTTGCTGCCCAAGCACAAATAAATGTCAAATCGCACTGGAATTCTATAATTTTACGAGAGCGCGCGACTCTCGTGCCAGCAAAAAGTTGTCTTTTCTACAGTGATTTTTTCATTACAGAGTCCAAAAAGTTTTGAGTGTTCTCAATGTCATCAAATAAGCCTACCATCCGCATCGTCAAGTTCTTCTTAATACTCGTTAAGTGCAAAACCATTATTCCACCTCCCAGAGCCTCCCATAAAACAAACCCAGTCAAACACAAGGTTGAAAAAAGGGGACGGAATAAATGATGAAGATGATGATGGAATCGGGCTGCAAAAACGTGGCTGTCAGCGTCCTTGTAAAATGCCTTGAGCAAGTCTACCAAGTTCTTGGATAGGAATATGATACGACAGCTCTTCCAGATGCATTCCTGGTTACAGACCACAAACAGTCTGAAAAATCAATAAAAAAGAATCGAGCTCTTACTGTTCCAAAATATGATTGGGAGTGAATATCTGATCTCTGCATTCATGATTCTTTCGAAAGCATTAGTACTTCCTAGCTATAATTTCGTATGTACGTTCCAGCAAGCTTTTATAAAACTTTTTTGATATCTATGCGATGTTTTCCTGCAGTTGTTTCATTTGGATGTGTCTCCTTTCGACTGGTTTACCTCAATGAGGACTGTTTTTTATTTAAGCAACTTATTTCAGCAATTAAGCAACAGCGACACCTTTTTTGAGGTGCCCAGGAGAAAAATTGTCAACCTAGGCCGAATCTTTTGTCACACTTTTAATTGTCACAAGGCAACCTCGTTTTTAGCAAGGTTAAACTGCTGTGAATCCGTAATATCAGTGGCTTTTGTTGTGAGAGCTGGTCTATTCAGTAGCTTCTAAGAAAACCTCGCTAATTTTTTCTACCACAATTTACCATATAAACCAGCCAATTTCGTCATATTTTATATTATAAAATGTGCAGGTTTTTCCATTTTTTTCCGACGTAACCAACTCATTTGCAGTTCTATTATGGCGGGCAGTTTAAGCCTGTCATCCTGATTTTTTATCATCCTCATTACTTAAACTTTGGTCTTTTGAATAGTAGTTTTATTCCTCTTTTACAGGTTCCATAGCATCAGTGCTGATGTGTGGGTTAAGTTTTAGCTACAAAAAACTTCGGATTTATTAAGCAGCCACCTTGGGGCCCTGTTTGGGTTGCTTCCATTTCGAGTATATCATTTTTCAGATTTGGGTGTGACAAATGTATATATGAGTTCTTGCGTGAGAAAAATCGACCAGTCTTGAACCTTGCGTGCTTGGAACTTGTATCGAAAACAGTCGCTTCTTGTGGAGTACGCTTCTATTTTTTTGATGCACGCGTACGAGACCACCAAGTCACTATTTGATTCGGTTTTTCGGGCTATTGTTTATCGAGCATCATCGAGCATTACCGACCCCGCCTGAAGAGACATATTACGCAGCATCAAACGTATTTAATGATTTGCTCTCTGCTTCCGGTTTTCCCAAAACGAAAGCTCCATAACAAATTTGGTAACCCCACCGAAGTTTCATGGATTAAAATGATTATAATGTGTTTTTGCATACCAAAATGTTGCATACATAATTGATAAACATGGCAAAATTAGAGAACGTAATAGATTTTTAAACCATTATAATCGATTAAAGTCCATTTTTTTTGCTTATTATCATCATAACCGATTATTTTTTTCTCGAGTGCGAACGAGCGCGTTCATTCCCATAATCATGGTTCGCTACCCAACATATCCCCCGCTACGCCCCCTTGTCCCGCTCCACCCTACGCCCCCCCTGCTACGCCCCAACTTCATATACCCCCCACGCACGCGAAAAGAATTTTAAATTTGATTATAATCCATTACAATCAATCATAATGAATTATGTTTTGTTCAGTGAAACTGTTTTGAAATTGAGCTGATAAAAAAATCGCTAATAATTGATTAAATCTTGCTTTTATTGCTTCGAAATATTTTACAAAATAATCAATTGCTATTCTCTTACAGTCGCTTTTTTTGTTTTTCAGAGAAATAGACTATCAAACTCAATATACTCGATTCTATTCATGAAACTTCTCTGCGGGAAATTTATAAGTAACTCTTGTCTTCTTCTTCTTTTTTTGGAAAATTTTCATTATGCAATTTCATAAAAATGAAATTGCAGTTTTTAGTTTTAATCATTTATGTTTACAAAGAATAAAACTGATTAAAGCAATTTACACTGTTTTTTGCTAATAAAAAACATCGATTCAAGGTTTGAACGTTAAAACGTGCTTTTATCATGGAGTAAAAAGTCAACAATAGTATGCTGAGTTTTAAAAGAGCATAATTATACGGCGTTTAATTCAAGAGCGACGGATGGCAATGATAGTGCGCAGGGACGAGCTCTCACTTGACCTCTAGCTTCAGGTCTACCACAACCTGACCAAATTTGTCTGCAATAGTGGTACCACGTATAAGTTCTAGACGCAAAAAGCGACCTTGAGTTGCAAAAAAAACAGCTTCGCTCAACAAAAAAACACAGTCTGGAATGTGGGGAGATAATGCAAATGGACTATCCTCGACAGGACTGTTAAGGCCTACTGATAGCTCCTCTGCGATTTGCTGGAGAACCTTGAAGTACTCCTGTTTGCCTCCCTGGTCAGGATGGTAGAGGATGCGAAAACTCCTGAATGGCTTCGTCACAGTTTCCTCGTCAATAGGTTGTCGTACCACAGGGAAGCACTGAAAAAAGATCTCTGCTTATGGTGGAAATGAATCTTTTTCCAAAGAAGATTTTTTAGCAAACTATTGTGCTCTCAGTTTATCTTTAATCATTTTCAGTTCCCTCTGGCAGACTGAGATTTGTTGTCTTTACACACTCTCAATCGAGTCCGTCTCTATCTCGAAAGCTTCATTTTTTATCGTATAACCGAAAAACTCGAGTTGAGGTTTGAATTTTTTTGATTATAACACGCTAAAAGTAGTCGCGTGTATTGATTTTTACAAGATAGATCAGGTATTTGAGCATTTAGATATTGTTCGCCGATTTTTGTGATCAAGATAACTGCTAATGGACCCAGGTCAAATCATTTTTTGCCTAAACTTTGCAATGATATAACTATCAAAATTATGGCTTTCTCACCTCGGTTTCTGTATACGCATTGTTTAATCTTGAAAAAATACAACGATTTTTTGGTCCTGCCTGAGCCTGAGGCGTGTTACATAGTGTCAAACATGTTTTTATGGTTGTTGGTTTTTCTCAAAAAATATTGAATAATCTGAATAATCAGAGTTAATATTTCCAGTCTCCCTCTGAGGATTTTTGAAGTTCTATTTATGAGAGCTTATTTAAAAACTGGAAAAAAATTAAGAATGTATTTTCAATTGTTAAGAAACAACACTGGGCATTCAATAAGATATGATACGGCGGGACTGTCAAAGTCTGGACGTTGCAGTCTGGCGGGACTGTCAAAATCTGGAGAGGTCAAAGGTCAGCGATCTCTGCAACCGCTGTTTTTATGATCTCCTTTTTAGAGACTGTATCGTTGTGTGCAGTCTGATGAGTTTGACGTGCCTGGTCTCTCATCCATTGTGACATCCATCTCCCAATTCTGGACACGCCCACCTCCTCCTCCTCCGTCAGATGATGATGACGTCATCACAAACCAGAACAGCAACAACAACAACATCTGTCGCTCCCAAGTCATAGCCAACAGGAGAGAGAGCAGCTCTTTTTCTTTTTAAACCTCAAGCGGCATTGAGTACAATTAGCAGGGAGTGGAAAAATGTAATTAACTTTTTCAACCCTTTTTGCTCCTTATAGGGAAAAAAATGAGCCAACGCATTTTTGCTTGATTTGTTCTAAGAAAACAATTAAAAAAAAAACATTTCGAGGAAACATAAAATGGAGTTTATGATGAAAAAAGCTTGCCAAATTCGTTCATGCGCAAATAACATCCTGTAAAGTCGCGAAAAAGTTGTTTTGAAGCGAAAATGAAAGTTTGCGAACTTACTTCTTTTAAAAACTTTTCTGGCTACCAAAAAATTAAAAATGAACCTAAGCGACCAAAAATTTATCTTCCGACCGCTCCCTGGCCATCACTATTTGCAGTCTCCGAAGGTACTTAAAAACTTAACGTTTGTTAGGCTAGAAGTGTTATTTGTTATTGCAAAAAGGGACCTTTAGAATAATATGGCTGAATGCAGATTTGAAGGCTTGTACGACATTTTCCTCCAATAATACCCCAATCTTTTTCAATGTGAACAATGTGCTCATATAAACAAAACTTAACGTTTTACAAATATTGTTTGTGTAATTAGACTTTTTCGAAGTGCAGGGGAGTATCTAGGGTTTTTCGAGGGCGAGGCCTTTTTTTGGCACTTTTTGGAAATTTTTGACGAAAAATTGAGTAACCACTTTGTACGGATATCTCAAACTAGTACAAAGTGGTTACCCTTTGGGTCGTCATTGGGTCCAATCTCTGAGGAGGGGGGGGGGCATCGGAATGCCGCCCCCTCCCCTAAATCCGCTATTGCCGAAGTGTATTATGCGCTCTATATACTGGGCTATAAAACAACAACGACCGACATTTAACTACCAACAAAGACTACAACGATTTTTTGCCCGGAGTCATGTAAAAAGAAAAAGAGCAAAAGGAGCATCGTAAATGGGGGAGAGGATGACATGGATGTAAATGGGGGAGCGAACAGACTGCACTTGGGGAGAAGTCTTTCAGTAGACGAGACGAGACAGAATTTAAGATGCGACAGTAGTTTGTGGGAATCAAACTCAATGTGCATCAAAAATGCGAGCTTCGAAGACAGAATTGACCCGAATTTCAAGATACCAGTAGTCGTCGCCATGAACAAATCATGTCAACCAGATGAAGTTTCAGATTAACTTTCGGTTGATATACTGATGAAAATTTCATTTAAGTTTTAAATATTCGCGGTTAAAAGTAAGAAAAGTTCACAGCACGTACAATTAAAGTCACAGTAAAAAACTAAAAATTTTGAAACATGCTTTTTCTAAAATTGAGTTGGTGTCAGAAAAAAGGACCAAGGCAAAAGTTATCGGTACAAAAGTGATCAGAGTTAAAATTTGCGCATTTCATTATCAAAATCTGAACTCAAAATTTCAACCCAGATTTGGATCATTTTTGGCTCAATCAATTTGATAAAGTTTACGCAAAAATTAATGCCTACGTTTTGAAAAAAAAAACTATTTAGCCCAAAAGTTATTTAGCCCAAAACAATATCATGTCTCAGAGTATATTTAATAATAATAATTTGCTCTCTGCTTCCGGTTTTCCCAAAACGAAAGCTCCATAACAAATTTGGTAACCCCACCGAAGTTTCATGGATTAAAATGATTATAATGTGTTTTTGCATACCAAAATGTTGTATATATAATTGATAAACATGGCAAAATTAGAGAACGTAATAGATTTTTAAACCATTATAATCGATTAAAGTCCATTTTTTTTGCTTATTATCATCATAACCGATTATTTTCTTCTCGAGTGCGAACGAGCGCGTTCATTCCCATAATCATGGTTCGCTACCCCACATATCCCCCGCTACGCCCCCCTTGTCCCGCTCCACCCTACGACCCCCTGCTACGCCCCAACTTCATATACCCCCCACGCACGCGAAAAGAATTTTAAATTTGATTATAATCCATTACAATCAATCATAATGAATTATGTTTTTTTCAGTGAAACTGTTTTGAAATTGAGCTGATAAAAAAATCGCTAATAATTGATTAAATCTTGCTTTTATTGCTTCGAAATATTTTACAAAATAATCAATTGCTATTCTCTTACAGTCGCTTTTTTTGTTTTTTAGGGAAATAGACTATCAAACTCAATGTACTCGATTCTATTCATGAAACTTCTCTGCGGGAAATTTATAAGTAACTCTTGTCTTCTTCTTCTTTTTTTGGAAAATTTTCATTATGCAATTTCATAAAAATGAAATTGTAGTTTTTAGTTTTAATCATTTATGTTTACAAAGAATAAAACTGATTAAAGCAATTTACACTGTTTTTTGCTAATAAAAAAAATCGATTCAAGGTTTGAACGTTAAAACGTGCTTTTATCATGGAGTAAAAAGTCAACAATAGTATGCTGAGTTTTAAAAGAGCATAATTATACGGCGTTTAATTCAAGAGCGACGGATGGCAATGATAGTGCGCAGGGACGAGCTTTCATTTGACCTCTAGCGTCAAGTCTACCACAGATTGGTCAATTTCGGCTGCAGTAGTGGTTACCAAAAGCTTAGCTCAACAAAATACCTCAGTCTGCTAATTGTTAACCGGTCTATGCTTAGACAGTTTAGATTTTCATAAGTTCTCTTTAAGTAGCAAAAACATAGCCAATCGAAGATTGGAAAACAGTAATGAACGCAAGTAAACATAAATAATACTAACTTTTTCGAAAATACCTCATTTTTCGAAACTCAAGGAAAAAAAGATGCCTTTGAGTTTCTAGAACAATTTATGATTAGCGCCGCTTTTATGATAACAATAACCCAACTTCAGACAACTGGATCTACAGGTAAAGTTTTTAATCCACTGGAAATCTAAAAATTGAATTGCTCTTTCGAAACTAGAAATCGCTTGCGTTTTTTACGCTATTTCCACGTTCGTATTTGGAGAGTGCTACTTACGTAACTTTCAGCAGATGAATTTCAATTGAACTCAAAAAGTGCATATATACCTAAGTGCATTCATAAATGCATCAATATGTACGAATGCACATCTGAATTTTTTTTGTAGTTAAGTGTTCTCAAAGCACGTTTAAGATTGAAAAAAAAACTTGAAGTTTTTCTAAGAAAGTTGTAAGATTTTCCAACAAAATTTTCAAATTTTTTTTGCAGGATGCTCAACCAATTTTTTAAAGCCTATATCGACAATATTTGTTTCAAAACTTGATTGTGTTTTCAAACGTTAAAGTTTTTTATTAGAAAACGTAATTATATTTTCAAAGGCTTAAGTTTTTTAATAGTTCCAATGTGCTAAAATTGCCAGCTTATTCAGTAAAATTGGCCAAGTGCTGATATATGAAATCTTTTTGACGCCTTTTATTACGTCGACCATATTGGTTTATCGAGCTCTTCAACAATACTATAAGGACGTTAATTTGCCAAAGTCTTCTGCGTCGCAAGTTTTCAGGCAATTTTTGATTCCAGGATCAGCCCCTCTTCAAAGTTGGTGCAAATTAGCACAAATTCGCCTTAGGAGATGTGTTAGATTTAGTCGATCAAAGTAGATGTGGTAAAGTTTTTACCCAAGAGGGACTCTTGGGTGCTCTGGGGGTCAAATTCGGTTAGGGGAGAGGCGTCCCCTGCCCCCTAAATCCACTACTGAAACAAACCATACATAATTAATTTTAGCCGATCAAAGATGATGATCTTCCTTTTGATTTTTCTGAAGAACTGAAAATAGTTTGTTTTGAGCTTAATTTATAAAGGTGAGACGAAAGGTCAAATTCGGTAAAAGTTGGAGTTTAATATTGCATTGATCAAATATAAATCTCAGATGTTATTTTATAAACAGCTTAATCACAGCTTACTTATTGAAACTCCAAATCTGTGACAGAGCGTCCAGGAGTTCGAAAATTGACGAATTTCACAGAACTGTTGTTTAATTGATGGTTTAATTGCAGCCCAATTAATTGATATTGCAAAAAAAAAGAAAATGGCACTGATGGTATAGTCTAGTTTTCAGTTGAAAAGAACGCATAGATCCCGTAAGATTTAGGAGGGGGAAGTGGAGGGGTGGCGGACGCCTCCTTCTCCTTTCAGGGACAACTAGTCTTGAAGGGGAGCGCGCACCGCATTTATAGGTTTTTGGGAGCTCTTAATAAAATCAATTTGGTCGACCTAAAAAAAGGTATTACAAAGAGCCCCCCCCCCCTTCCCCCGAGAAAATCTTAGGTCCGCCCCTGAACAAATATACATTAATTGAACTCAATAAGCGAAAAAAGTTTGAAGCGATATTTTGCGTTCAGTTCAATTGATTTACTTTCATCAGCTGACTACGACTGCTTTACTTCTGATGACGACCGCTACAGTTGCGAGAGGAAGCGAAACATTTCGTCCTGATTTCGAAGTGGACGAACATTGCGTGCTGTTCGAGCCCCGATTCGACACGAGATGCTTCCGGCACGGATTCTACGAGTTCAACCAGTACACTGGATTGTGCCAGGAACACAGACCATTTTGCAGGTCCCATCGGAACATGTATCGCACAATGCAAGAGTGCAGACAGACGTGTGAGAAGCTCCTGTGATATTCACTACTTGCTCCGTTTTCATATAAACTTGTGAAAGAGTGTAATTTTATCTTCTTATGTAGCATTTGATAGAGTGATTAAACTTGAAGTTTATCTGCCAAAAGCAATTAGCTTTTGGAGATTTTGCTTATTTCAATAGCTACCTTTGTTCCGACCGCGCACTATGGGTGACAAATTTGTCTTCGGGTGTGTTTTAGTTATTGTTCAGACCATTGAAATTGGGGAGGAACTTTGTTTTCGGGTGTGTTTTAACGTTTTTACTTCCACGCAAAACCAAGTACTACCAATAATCTTCGTAATAAGTCGATCGATACATCTTTTTGAAGCTTTGTGAGTCTTAAGTTGTCCGTGTCGAGAAAAACTGGTATCAAGTTTTTGAGTTCCAGTTCAATTTCGAGCGAGTAAAGCGAGCGTGCAGGTTTATTATAGTAGGATGAGTCCAATACAATTTTAACTCCAATACAATTTTTTTTCAGCGCCGTCTTTAGAATAAAAAACTTCATAATTTCGAAAATTTTTCTGAAAAAAATTTGCTAAACTTTTCAATGTTTTTTCTTATTCGTGTCAATTTTTGACAAAACTGTTGCTCAGTTTGTCTATGTTACTGTGACTGTGGTTTTTGTCTCAAAGAGGTTTTTATTTGATTTTTTTATGAAGTTAAAGGCTTTATCTGATTCTTTTATCTCACCACGCACAAACAAAACGACTTTTTTTAAACACCAGATGGTTGGAACATGGCAAAATTAGGTACCGCAAAAATTCAACGGTAAGGTTACAGTGATCCAACTATTTTAAAATTTTCATTCATGATTCGATCATTAAACAAATTCAATAAATTGTCCCGGTGTTGAGTAACTTTGTTGCTCTTCTTATTGGTAGCAAATTCCTGCAGTTGTCTAACTAAGACTTGTTATTGAAATTTTGTACAAGCTTTTGTATTTGTAGGAAGAATTTTGGATATAAATTTTTTAAGCACTCGAGATGAGATCTGAGGTGCTCATGTTTTTCAGTTAATGTAAATTTTCAACTTTTCTGCTTTTTTGTAAAGACTATTAGGACTACTGGAAAAAATTCCGAATTGAGTTTATATTTTTTTCTTAATCAAATACACGCTATGCAAAGACTTATCGCTAGTTCTCTCAAATGAGTTCATTATCAAGGTTGCCGTCTAGTGAAGAACAGAGTTCATACAGTTTACATTTTTGCTACATATTAAGTATGGTCTCAAAGAACAAAATAAGAAGAAAATTATACAAAAACCATGTCGCTGTATTTGAAAACTTTTAGATACTTTTTTTGATTCGGGCAAACTTAATTTTAAATGGGCACAATTCTAAGGTAAGGAAACGGGCTGCGATTTTTTTCAAACTGTTGCCGGCGTTTTTGTGCTTTGCTGTCAAATGTTCTAAGCCAAAAGTAGATATGAAACATTGGTAAACTAAATAATGGGAAAAAATGAGTACCCACCCGCACTCAATAAAAAGAGAAAATAATCGATTATTTTACAGTTATGTTTGTACTTTTATCAAAAATATAATTAATTATAAGCGCCCATTTAGATTTTCAAACGATTTATAATCCATTATAATGATAACATTTTCATGGCATTATAACAAACTATAATCAATTATAATTGATCATAATTTTTTCAACGAAAACCTTTTATAATCTCTTATAATTTCTAATAAAATCTTATAACCTTTTATAGCAGTGTGCTGATTTTTTGGTGGTAAAAAAAACTTAAAATGTGCATCATGAAACAACTATAATCAAGAAGAATTCAAAAAATAAAAACGTTATAATTTTGAATTGATTTGTAAACAGTTAAGAAAAATTTTCCCATTTTCACATAAACCAATATCTACGAAAAGCATAAAATATAAGCATTTCATGAGCAAGGTTGAAGACAAAATGGGCAAACAAAAGGGATTATAAACACTTATAATCGATTATAATGGATTTTTCTGCAAAACAAATAAATTAAAATGTTTGGATAAAAATAATCGATTATAATCAATTATAATGTATTATAATTGATTACATTTGATTTCAAAAACAGAGATTGTTATCGATTATTAATCAATTTATTCTCAAATTTTGTGCAAATGGTACTAAAATTATATTATAATCGATTATTAACGCTTGAAACTGGATGCGGGCAGAAATATAAACACTTTAAAAAGCGGAAAAAAAGATCATATTAAGGCAGAGAAGAAATACCAGAGAAAATATTCTTGTTTTTTGCACAAGGAGAAAACAAATGTTGATGAACCGTATTAACCAAAAACTTCATTAAAAAGGTTTTTGTGACTCATCATTTGTGATAGTGAAAAAATGTACGATGAAACAGGCGGAAAAAAACGGATTTAAGCGAGTCTTTTTTTTCTGAACTTTAGGGTCGTGTGAACATATATGGATAATTTAAAAAAAGGTTAATTGTTGAATTATCCTGTTTTTCTAGAGAAGCCTAAATTTTCTTCTTAACTTATAATATTTTTAATTGCGTTTTTTTGTCACAGTTAAAAAAATTTTAACATCTGAAAACAATAGTTCATGCTGGATCTTATTGAATTTTTAGTCCATTTTTTTGTAATGATTGTGAAAAATTTTTGAGATAAATTGGAAAAATATTTTGAAATGACTGTTTCGTTAATGATGCATATAAAAACTTTGCAGCAAAAAAGGCATCCTTGTAAAAAACACAGAAATCAATGTGAAATTAAAATAGGCCTACGAATTAAATTAACACTTTAATTAATTTGAGATCTACTACATCGTTAGTTTTTCAAAAACACTGAAAGTTTCAATCTTTCCATTGAATGCTTTTTAAAAACAAGGAAAAAAAGAAAAATTCACAGTAAAGTGACTGAGTAGGTCTTTCAGCTTCAAAATGCTGCAAAATTCCAATACTGCTTATGCAATTGATTGACATATTTTGTATTGATTAGGGTATTACTGGCATGCAAAACGTCATTTTGTTCTTCAATGAACAATCAATGTCAGAGTTATGTCCGAGTTTCAATACCTGGCGCTATTGCAAACTAAGCCAAGCATTTTCCAAACATTGCGCAGTTTTGACAACCGTGAGTAAAGAGCGTGAAAGCATAAACTGGGCAATTTAGTTTAAATAATTGCTTTTTCACCGTTGCACAATTTTATTGCAGATCGAAGAGGAAACAAAGTTGTAAAAGCAAAACATGAGCACTGTAAATGGAAACAAACGCTCAATAGCATTAAACATAGCAAAATTTTTTATTAACTGTCAAAATAACGGTTTGTACCAAATGCTGAAGAAAATTTTTGGGAGAAAACCTTTCCAGTTTTTTTAAAAACAAAAAAATACCTATATTAATTAGTGCGTTTTTTAAATATCAATTAGTGCCTGAAAGATCTAAAATTGTAAAGTTTGGCAAATATATGGAAATTGGGTAAATTGCTCCACTCTTACTAAAAGCAATCTTGTCATTAAAATACAATCTTAGTATAATTATAGAAAAAAAGTAAATTCGTCTAACTTAATTCTATTTTTATTTTAAAGAAACTTTTTTAACGTAGCTTTATCGTGCAACTATTGTTTTTGTTTCAGTTTTCTCATTTCAACTTCTTTTTTTAGCTTTCACAATTGTAATTTTTGCCGAACATTTTATTCCCAAGTCGTAGTTTTTTTCTGGCGGAAAATATTTTTTTTAATTTTTTTTTTTGAATTTCAAGTTATTTTAGTTGTTTTTAGTTTTTGGAAACTGTTATTTAATTTTGGATTGATTGGATGTGCTAATTTTGAAAGATTTTTTGTTAGACTAAACTTCGATTAAAATTTAGATTTTTTTGCTATATAAAAATTTCGATTTGATTCTTTGTCACATTTTGGCTGTGTTTTTAGTGTCATGGAAATTTGGAAAAAATGTTATAACGTTTTTTGTTCAATTCGAAACGAAACTTTCACGCAAGTTTCATCAGTAGGGTTATTCAGCGCAACAAACTAAGTTCAAGGGAATGTACGTTTTTTTGCCATTAAAAGAGTGTGCATTATAATTAATAAAAACATTGCAGCATGGTTTCAAATTTTAATGATCATTGACTAACTGAAAGCAGAAACAAAATTTTATAAAGACTTTTTTACTTTGCACAAAGAAAAAATGCTGCTTAATCTTTTTAGTGAAAGTTTCAGTGAAAAATCTAGGTACGTTATCATTCATTTTTGAGAAAAAAGTTTCAAGACGAAAGAGACTTGATAAAAATCTAACTGGTTTTATGTTTTTCTACACCGTATGGATTTATGGACGATTTTATGTAATTGAAAGAAAACAGCAAACCATCAAAAGTTGAATACAAATTATTTTTGAATCTACATTTTGAAATAAATTTGCTTCTTGACATATATGAAAAAACAATTATTCTTGAAGTTTTCTGTAAATCTTGTGTTGTTAGATTTGAAGTTGTTAGTTACATGATTCATTAAGTTCCTCGAATTGGTTGAATCCACGAAAAAAATATATTTTTCTCAGACGTTTCCTTTGAACTCTTTCAATACATTCCATTTAAGCTCAAGAAGATCACATTTTTGCTTCAGATCTTGAAATACTTCTTCTTTCTTGCTCAAATTTACCTTCATCAGTTCGTTTTCCTGCTGAAGTTCTTGGATAACTTGGAAAAAAGTTAAATTTTGCTCGTTCAGCTGACCTTTCAAAACGGCAACTTTGGTTCTGAGTTGAGAAAGTGCTGTTTCTTGAGTGCGACCTGAAGGGAACAAAGGATCTCCGCTAGCCGCTGAAATGTTATATGTGGTTATATGTCAATTCGAGAAAACGTTCTTCCAAAAATAAACAAAGATAATAAGCGTTCGAAGAATGACCGCGTAGATAGCCAGGAAAACTCTGCTCGAAAATATTTTATCCTGCTTGCTGTGTTTTTACATTAAAAAGTTGATAAATGGCTTGCATCAAAAAATTGGAGGAAAGAACGATTCGTAGAAAAGGCAAAAAGTTCGAATGGACTGGCTATTAATGGTAATGCGACAACTTGCAAGAAAAGACAACTCACAATAAAAGACAACTCGCATTTAAAGACATACTCGCAATATACTTACCGCCGACGTGTTGCGAGCTTGTAACAGAGGGTAGGACTTATACGAAATGCAGAGCAGGTTATCGCCGCGAAGCTGCGACGCGCGCGTAGCGCCCCCACTGGTGACCTTAAAACGAGAATATAAAGTTTCAAATTACCTTCAAAAACTTGCGAGTTGTCGCTTTCCTTAAATTTCGTGAGTTGTCTTTTGTTGCGAGTTGTCGCGGTACCGCTATAAACATGTCTTCGACACCAAATCTGTTTATCTCGACAGTTAGTAATTTGCCATGAAAGGAAATGGAATGAATGATTTCTCTAAAAGCAATTCTCTCTTTTACAACTTTTTGAAAACTTTCTTGTGCGAGTAGCCGCTTCAGGCAAAAAAATATAACTTTCGCAAAAAAAAACTATAGTCTGACGCAGTTACAGAAATTGAAGGTGAAAAGAGCGTAGGAAACAGCGTGATCATTTCTCGTTCACGGCCAAGTCTTGAATGTTTAGACTCCCTTTTCGCCTGACTGTACTAAACTATTACTATTTTAGGAGAAACGCAGCCACACTTTTAATCTATCGACCACACAAAGGTGTATGAATTTTCTGCATTGAGGCGTGTTACCACAAAATAACATCTGTTAAAGAGATTTGTTAATGTTCAATAAGAAATTTCTTTTCAGTCGTGATTCGATTGATATTTTGAACAATTTGGAAAAACTTTCACAAAACGATGAATTGAAGTTTTGCTTTCAGTCCAAAGATTCCCAAAAAGCCAAATAAAAAAACCTGAAGAAAAATTTGGACCAAAAACTTAGTTTTTGTTTTTGCTATTTGTGCTTACTTTTTATACTATAAAACTAACTTGTTTTATTGAACGTCTGCGGCGACAGTTTTTCCAGAACATCAAATTGTCTGCAATAAGTGATCATGTTTACAAACAAAAGGACCTCGAGCCAGCGTTGAAACAGTTCCATTTGACACAGTGCTATTTTTAACTGTTTATTTGTTTTGTCGAATTGCTTAGTTAGTCAGTGAAAGTCAAGTATCAGTCAAAAGTCAGAAGTCAAACTGAAATAAAAAATAATTCCCACAAAAAGAGGAGTGCATTATGGTTAATTATTTTGTTTTTTTATTGATTAATCTACTCAAGTTAATTTCGCAAGGGGTCGGATTTAGGACTTTCTCAGGAGAAGTAGGGGTGGGGATAGTTTTTGGAAAGCAGGGCAAATCAAAGTTTGAGGGATAACAATAAGGTCTTGAACAAAAATTTGCTTTCTAATTTCTCACTACCTCCTCGATATTGGTAACCCAAGGCTTGGTTGACCATAGATTATTGTCCCAGACTAGTACCACCAAACCCCTGAGAGACGTGTTACATCCGTAAATACGCCCTAAATCTTTATTTTCTAAACGTCACAAAATCAATAATCTTTGTGAAGATTTTGCAAAACTCAAAATGTCACGCCAATTTCATGTGTGTAACCAAAACGATATCTTGTGACGTCTAAATTGCAATAAATTTTCTCAAATTTCATCAATAATTTCACTTAATTATCAATAATTTCACCTAATTTGATTCTATAACTGCGCACAAGTTTTATGAGTTAGGTACTTCGGCTTTTTTTGTTCTATCTAAATAACTTCTATAAGAGTTAAGTTAGTAACTATCAACTAGTTGATGTTAGTTTAGTAATGTTCACATTTCGATTGAATCGTGCTCAAAGTTGGCCAACATGGCCTTTTTTTGCACCGCATTTTTGGACATTCGGATTCCGACTTGATCCGAGTCCACTTTCAAGTAGTCGCATCCTCCAGTCGCGAACTGATGACTCATCGTCTTCATCTGTTTCGTTTCGTGTTGTTGAGACCCGACCTGAAAAGTTCCAAATCCGACTTGATCCGAGCCTAAATTTAAATCGTCGCTCGTCACTTGTTTCGTCTCGTGGTGCCTTCGTGACACGCAGATGTTCATTTTGGCTGTCGGAGGCACGATGTAGCTCAAGTGGTCCATGTAGTCTCGTTCGCCTGATCCCGACAGCATCTCGGAAACATACGACGACTCCTGATGCACGTCGGTCGTTCGTGTGACCTTTACTGTCATGTTGTTGATCGCAGCAGCGTCTTTATCCTTCATCACTTTTTCTTTGAGAGGCTATAAAAAATCAATCTAGAAAACTTCCGCATTACAATAAAATAACTAAGCAATTTTAGAATTGCGTTTAAGTTTGAGATGTAGCAGGTTTTTGGGCATTTTTTGTCATATCAGACAATTTCTCCATTTTCTCTATAGTTTGATCTGTGTTACACAATTTAAAACTTAATCTTAACTGCAAGCAGCCCATAATGAGGCAAATTCTTCAAAAATTTTTTCATATACTTAAATAATAGTATAATTTTAATAAATTTAAATGTATTTAATTTCAAAATTGAGGCCTTTTTGGTCGCTTTCTCAGTGTTTAGCAATAAACTGTTAGAAAAACTCACGCGATAAACAATTTCTCGTTCTTCAGAAACCTTTTCTGAGAAATTGCGAGACTGCTTCTCAGACATCGATCCACTCATGTTTTCCGAATTCTGATGCAGACTGGCTCCCCTTGTCACTTTTATCTTCATGTTGTTGATAATTGCAGGGTCAGCCTGAAATAATTTTTTTTTGAAAAAGAGACGTGCCCACGCTGACAGAGATAGTTGTAAGATCGATTAAGTAACTGAAAAGATTATATGAGATTCTATATTTAATTTAAGATATGGTTATAAGAAATAAAAGAGATTCAAAAAAATACGTATTTAAAATGATATCAAATCAATATGAATATAAATTGATCTAATATTAAAGCTAAATAAATCATTTTAAAATGATTGTAAATTGGTCTGTACAGCTTTTTTGTCCGACTTTTGAAAGAAGTGCGGAATAAATTAGAGTGGGGAGGTCTTTTATTCAGTCAACATTACAAGGCCAAACTGTGCATTTTGTGAATTGTAAGTGGATTCCGCAACAGGCAAAAATTGGATTTGTCGCGGAATCCGCAACATTGCTATTTTTTTAATCTTCTCTGTTGTTTTGGATTCCACGGACAAATAGCTAAATCACTGTATTGCTCAAAATTGCTCCAAAAAGAGACATCTTTGCGGAATCCCCTACAAATCGTAGGAACAAATTATAATATTTGTGTTTAGTAAAAATAATTTGTCGCGGAATCCGCAATTGTAAGCGGAATCCGCAAACTATAAGCGGAATTCGCAAATTGTAAACAAATTTCGCAAATTATAAGTAGAATCCGCAGAAATTTTTGGAATCCACTTACATTTGCGGAATCCGCTTACATTGGCAGAATCTGGAACAATTACCTATATTCGCTCGTTGCTGAATTCGCAACGAAATCAATGTGCCCACAAAACTTACGTTACAATTATTTGTACATCCATTAAATTTTTGTAATTGGAATCCACTTACAATTTGAAACACGTGTAAAGACTTGTCTCTGGAATCCGGGAACATACAGGCACAAAATTGTGCGCCTATCCAGTGCACAGTTTGGCCTCGTAATGAATTTGTTTTTAACAAAGCGTTTTGATTATTTTTTTTTCATCTGAAAAATTTTGTTGTCCTGAGCTGCATATTGGAAAAAAATGTTAGCTGCGATGAATTTTTTGATAATTATGGGGTTTTAAAAATTATTAATTTGGCCAATTTGAGATAATCAGCGCGCGATATTTTGCGTTCTTCTAACACGCTCGAGCGGCAAACCAATGTTTCTATTTAAGTTTAGAACAACAGTTTAGCCCTATTAACGCAATACGAGACGCTAAACAAACCTTTTGTATTTTACAAAGCATGTGGGGCATAAAATTAAGAAAAACAATTGTTTAATTTTCATTTTTTACGTCAATTCTTTAAGGGGAAAATTCAAATTAGCCTTCAAGTGTAGTCGGAACCTTAAAGACTTTTGGCTTGTTCTACTCCTAATTAAAACTGGTGATTTGGAGACAAAATATTATGAAATCCTTTTTTTTACTGTACTTGTAAATTGGTTAAGTTTTAATTAACTTGATGTGCAGTTAACTTGATTTTTTGTCTCAACGTTGTTCCGACCTTTTTAAAGATGTAAAGAAACTTTGTATTTGAGTTTGTTTTAGTTTTTTTAATTTGCTTTTTGTTCTTTTCCTCACAAAATCAACTGCTAAATTAAACATCGTAGTGAGTTGAGTGATTTATCATATAATGAACTTTTCAGTCAAAATTCCAACGATTAAAAAAATTTCCAAAAAAATAAAGCCGAGAAGAACCAGTTTGAAATTTTTGAGTTTTCGTCTAATTTCGAGCGAGTAAACCGAGTGAGCAGGCTTACAATAGTTTCTTTTATTTGCTTAAGATATTACAATAGCTTAATCAAAACCATGAAAACTTAGTTTTACGCAAGCAAAGGTAGATTTTTTGTTTTTCAGCTTCATTTCGAAATCAAAACTTTCAAAAATTCCAAATGAAATTGCAAAACAATTTTTTTTTGAATTTTTTTGAATTTTTTCGTTTTTCTAGTCATTTTCTTTAAAACAATAAAATTTGAAAATTGCTTGTTTTCTGACAAATAACTCCGGGATCTAGTTTTTTTTGTTCAGACACTTTTATCAAACCAGGCAGAAAAAATCTAATTTGAAATAAAATTCTGTTGTATATTTTAAGACCATGCTCGGAACAATCTGAACTACTTCCACAGTAACCGGCTATCGTTTTTGTTTTGCATCGTTTGACAACAATGCAAAAATTTCTGCAAAATCATATGAGTAATGCAGAAGTTTGCAACTTTTTGCAGATAATCCTAATTGCAGAACTAACATGAACTCCATACCTACTCAAATTTAGAAGTAGAGTCAAACTTTAATGTTTTCATCCCACCATTCCTACGGGAAAGCATCGATTAGCATAAAACTCGGCTATTATATATTTTTTTAAATTGAAAAATGGATCGGTTAGCAAACACAAAATCCAAACACAAAATTTTAAGCCATGACAGGGCGGGGTGTGACTGCTCACAGTTCATCTGATAACGAGTTTATTTTTCCTGTGAATTGCTTATTTTCCCAATTGCTCAATTTTTGGTTTCTCAATAATGCAAGTTTCAATTTGAGCAGATTATGATTGTTCTTTTTGAGAAAAAAGGCTATTGCAAATATACTGGTCGATACATTTTCTTGTTTTAAAAAGTCTACGCTAGTCCAGCTTTTTGCTAATCACACGATCACACCCCCCTCAAGTTTACAACACCCCTCCCCTTGCTTAGTTCCCCGTATATCACCCCCTTGCGAGTAAAGTGTTTTGTCAAAGTGTAAAATTTTTACGAAATGGTTAAAATAGTAGAACCTGGACTGTTAAACATTTTTTTTTCTAGCGGGGAAACCAACAGCACTGAGGTTGTCCAAAACCACTCAAAAAATATTTGTTCTCTTTTGGTTCATTTGCTGAAAATCATAGAAGTTCTCAAAACCTTATCGTTAATTTTTTTCAGTGTGGTTGCCTCACGATACTACAATTATGAAGAAGTTTGAAACTTCAAGCCTGTTTTTGTAATAAATTCAACGGGTTGCAATTTTCCCTTTAAAATCACGTTAATTTTGTAAAATTGCATGAAGGATCATTGAATATGTTTGAATATGGTCTGTGAATATAAATGCTAAGCATTTTCCACTAAGAAAAACCTGACTTGACTTTAAGCTGTTTATACATTTTCCACTGTTGTGAATTACAAATTAAGAGCTATCTTGTATCGGATATGAATTCGGGATGAAGCGTGTTAAATTTCGTTTCAGTTCTTAAACAAATAGCCGTAAAAATACATTCGCTTAATTATTGTCGAAAGATCTTTTGAGTGTTTGCATCAAAAAATTATTTTTCCTAGTTAAGGGGGCAGACTGTTATTAACCATTAGCCCCAATTACTAAAAAAGAGAAATTCCATGCAAGTTATACATACCTTTGTTTTTCGGTCGACCAATTTTTTCTGGCACTCTCAGAATACTGTAAAGATACTATTTTGACACTAATTTTTTGGCGCCGCAGCAAATTTTTGAAAAAAATTTTGACCAAACACAAAGTTTGTGCGAAAAAAAAATTGCGCGCGTTCCCCTTCAAAATTAGATTATAGAGGCTCTGAGACGCCGAAGGCACCTGTAGAAAAATTTTTGGGTTCGTCAAAAATGAATAAGACTAGTCGAAAATGAATCTCGTAAAATATTACCATATTGGGGGGACCCTTTGGTTGGCAAGGGGGTCAAATCCCTGAAGGGGAAGGCTTCCGCCTCCCTCGCTCCACCCATAAATCCACCCCTGGTGGCCATACGAAACTTTAAAATTTTTCTGCTTCGGCCACAAAGCCTGCGCACTTGAGTTTTGTTCTAATATACATGATTTTTCTAAATGAACTCTGTCAAAATAAATAAAGCTCCAATTCCATCCCGGAATGAAAAAGCTTTCAAAATTTTCTATTTTTCGTGCACATTACAAAAGTTTTAAGACTAAAGTAATGACTGCTAAAGAGTTTTGTCATTTTTGTTCCATACATGGATGAAACAAAGGATCAATCTTACAATCTCTCCCCCCCTCCCACCTAAGTGACCAACGTAGACCCCTAGCCACTTATTAAACTTAAAAAAATTAATTCTGTTCAATGTATGCATTTCGAACAAGCGCGCGCACAAAACTGGTTGCCACAGTTTTTATTTGTGACTGCGTTTGAATGCTGTTAATAACCTCAACTAACGTATTTTTAATCAATTTTCTTTAAATAAATTGTTATTTTTCTATTAATCTAAGGTATACTCAAAGTTAATTCTAGAATAATCCATATTTTCTCCCCCTAAGTGATTCGAAACAAAAATATGGTAACCGTGGGTAGAAGTGAATAGTCACAAAAAAGGTCATTTTGTAGAGCAAGAACGCGCTGCGAAAATAGACAAGAGCAAGAACGCAAGAAAAAATCTCAATTTGAAATATAGGAAAAATTAGACAAGTTTGTAGAAAACAAAACAAACGTTTGCTTCCCATAAAACTAGTCAGTTTTAATTCAAATGATACTTTTATTTATTCACGAGAAATGCATTTCATTGTTTTTTGTGAATGTAGAGCTTTTGAAAAAGTTTGTTGCGAATGTGAAAAATTGATTTTTGTGAATATTATGATTTCATAACGCTATGTACCGATTAATTGCCCGGGTTGACCTCCATACACCGAAAATGGTTATCATACAATTCCGTACATCAAGTGTATGGAAAAATGTTTGTCATACAATTTTCATACAATTTCTAAAAATGGTTGAAAACTTGTATAAACTTATTTCTGTGGATGTTTGATTCTTATAAAACAGTCTGGTGATAAAAAACTGAGGTGCTCGTTTTTTTGAAAAAAATGCTTATCATGCAATTCCCATATTTTCTCCCCCTGCCCGGGTTGGGGGAGAAAATATGGGAATTGCATGATAAGCATTTTTTTCAAAAAAACGAGCGACACAAAAAATTTTTCAAGTAATTTTGAAAATTTGGCCCAAAAAATTTTTGTTTTTTTTTCAACCGCAAATCGAATTTCGTACGAAAACAAACATTTTTCGAAATTTTTTTTTTGCATACAAAATTTAATTTTTTGTGTGCATAACGTAGTCCTGGATACGATAAAATTGGCTTTTATTTTCTTTTCACTTAATTTTTTTTTCAAAAACGCTGAAAATTCCAATTTTTTTTGTATGGGGTGTTATTGTAAGCCTTGATCAATGTCTGATAACTTGAAAATTCAAAAATTTAAAATAATCATCTTTAAAAAATTTTGCCAAAAAAAAGTTCGTTACTTTTGTTATATGAATTGTGAAAAACATCCAAATTCAGGTCGTTTGCTATGCATTGTAAATGCAAGACCGTCCAACCTTTGGGGTTTTGAGTAACCAAGGTCTTTGTCACTTGTGTTCGGTTGCAAACACAACCGAAAAATTTACAGAAACTAAATTTAGAAAGAAAAAATCAAACTTTTTGGTTTATGGAAAAACATCTATCATACAATTTTCATTTATGGAAAAATGTTTATCATAGAGATTTCATACAATGTTCTGTACGTATGGCATTGTATGGAATTGTATGACAAGAAGTTTTTCATAAATGGAAATTGTATGATTAGAAGTTTTGGTCAACCCGGGTGAAACGACGTAACCGCTATGACTATAGTAGATCGGGTTCTTATGTTTTGATATGATCAGTTGTCTGTCTGACTCTACAATGAAGAACTAAAATCAACTATAAACACTTATTTATGAATCAAAATATAATCTTGCTACTTTGTGAATAAGTTTTTACGTCACCTCAGGAGGATCCTTTACAAAAGGATTTCAAAAAATCACAAAATTTATTGATACTTTGGGCCGATCTAGCCTCGCACTCTGCCTTGCACAGACTTGTCTTCTAATCAACTTTAATATGGTGGAAAGACGAAAAAATAGAAACATTAAAAATAATTAATTTTCAGAAAAACTCCTCCTCTTCATTCTTCCCAAAATTTGAAGATCCTCCATTAGGCCTGAAATTACCTCAGATTTAGGTCAACTTTTTATTGCGTCCTTTTCACTACCGCCACTGACAAGCTCCAGGGCCTGATTGTTTTCTACAGCCAGATTTTTAGTAATAAAAAAACTATGGCTCGTGTATACACTTGTTCTACGTCAACTAATTGTTTTTGTGAGCCTGCTCTCATGATAATAGTTTGAAAACTCGTTACCACGAACTGCAGCTGGAAATTGATTACCGGTTTTGAAGCTGTTTATTTATCTGCTTTTTTCATTTATCTCTCAGGACTTTTGAAAATATAGACAAAATTTTTTAATGGGTTTTATATTTTTGGGTTTTTAGTTTTGTTCATTTTTCACTAACTTTTTGTAAACAAATATTTTGGTGTCACCCCAATACGAGAGGTTTTGTTGCAAATTTAGAAAATTTTGATGCGGAATCCGCAGAATTGCAGGTTTGACAATTGATAATCTTCTGAATTGTACGTGTAAAAGGAAGTTTATTTAAACTCAGAAATCGTTTCAAAATGAACTGATGCCAATTTATTCTTCTAAAAATAAACTCTAGGTTAAATATATCACATTCTATTTTAAAAATTTAATTTCAAAATTTTCAAAAAATTATAACAAAAAGTATTCAATAGCCCGGGTTGACGTCCCATGGTTAATTATCGCTTTTTCTGTAGTAACCCAGTGATCGCTATTTTCCAGCGCTGATTCATGTATAATTGAGAGTTTTTTGCATAGCTAAGCTTGCAATATTTCAGAGCTGTTTTAGTAATGATTCCGTAGAAAATCCTTGCTAAAACTTAAGAAATTTTCGTTCATTCTAGTAGCTTTCGAACAAAAGTCTTAGTTAATTAGCCCTTTAACTACACTTAATCTAAGGCTTGATGGGGCAGAGGTAGCATACATGTCTCTAAAGATGTTGGTTGCGGGATCGCTATTTTTGCTCATTTTGATAGGTTTTTATCGCCTTTTCATCGCTGAAATTTAACCAAATTAGCAATTGCCATAAATGTAGTTGCCCGAAGCTTAAAAGTTCAAGATGTTAAGAATTTCACAAAATTGTGTACGTGGATCACTTTTTCGATAGTGTGTTTAAGTGAGCTGCGGCTACTTAAGAACAGTTTTTTTTGTATCGCAAATCATTGATTTTAGAAGTATCTATTTTTGATTTTGATATCTAGAGATACCCACAATAACAAGTAATGCAAAAAATCGAACATTTGTGGAATTAAAATTGATTTAAATTGATGCTATTAGCTGTATTTTGGTATCAAATTGAATCGAGTTTAAATTGATTGAAATTGATTTTTTTGAGTTTTTTCTGCATTAGCTCTGTAGCATTGATTGCAAACCATTTCTGTCAGTGCAAGTAGAAAAACTAACAAAGGAACCGAAAAAAAATCTTTGCTTGCCCACACTCCTTCACCAAAAGTAAATAAATCAGTCTGAAATAAAATCAGCAGACAACAGTACCTTTTGGACATTGAGAAAAGTCTTCCAACTTTTTCCAACTCGATTTAGGTTTTGGATCAAAGTTAATGAGATAAGACCAACCACCAGGAATGTTAGAAAAAGCACTTAAAAAATCAATAAAATCGAACTTTTAAAAAAACTTTCGTGTTTCCACTTGAAAGCTGGCGTGTTTTTATGTGAAAAAATCTGGTGAAAAGTCTATCAAAACTCTTGAGTTTTCAAGTGTTTTTATTCAAAGGTAACAACCAGAGACTTGCATTGCTCACGTCTTCTACGTAAAATTTCTTTTACAAACTCAATTACTTCTATTAAAAAATTCAAGAAAAAGCACGTAGGCAACGCAAAGCTCTTGTTGTTACAATTAATCAAAAGAACTTAAAAGATCAAATGTTTTACTAGAAAATTCAAGTTACTTTTTTTGGTGCTTCTTTTTCACGAGACTTTGCTAGGAAAATCTACCATTTTTACACAAAAAATCAGTTAAACCAAAAACTGGTCACCCGATACATACGAGAACTTCCGACAAAAACTACATTTTTCCCGATGAATGATATTTTTTAAATGTTTATCTGAAAAATAGTCACAATAATAAAGTCACTGGTTGACACATTTTTCGATAATTGACGAGATATTATCTTCGTTCAGTATCCTGTATAACCCTGTTAGTGATAACAACTTTTTAATTTTTTTCTAGTCCTACACACGGATCATGATTTTTAAAGTATGTTAAAAATTTGAAAAATCTGAGAGCAACTTTCCTGTGTTCAGAGAATCTTCTCTCCTGATTTTATTTGAGCTTAGGCACTCTAGTTTTTTAAATATGTTTTTTTTTTAAAGAAGAAACTCGTGAGCAATGCTCATGTGAACACACTTGAATATGTTGAAAAAATGTACTATGGACTTAAGATCGAAAGTACTGCTTTGTTTAGTTGACAACCAACAACTTAGGGCGAGTTCTTTACAAGGTACCGTAGGGGAGCAAAAGTTTGAAAAGTACTCTGTTTTTATCTCCAGCCGAAATTTACGTCATATGAAAAAAAATGCATGAATTTCTTAATTTTTTTGAGATCGGAAAAAGTAACATGATGACAAAGTTAATTTTCAGACCATACTTTCTTCTAGAAGGGCAAAAACCATAGTTAAGAGTTGTCATTTATCATTTTTAAAAAAGATTCAACGGTGGCAATCTATAGAAAAATTTCATGGAAGGATTTTAATTATGCTTAAGGAAAACTCCATGAGAACGATGATTTTGTCAATTAAATGCTAATGATTCGTATTCTAGTTATTTTTAATATCTGACAAAAACAGAAAAAAAAAACAGCATGACAGACACTTGTACATTTGAAGGTATTTTCAACTGGCAAATACGTTTTTTTTGTGTGTTTCATAATTTTTTATGTAACGGATACGTATTTTTGACTAGTTTATATCTCGGCTGGCTTATACTTCGGCTCGTTGATGTACCACTCTGAGAACTACCTGTGGCTCCTGTTCTTGACGGTGGATGTCGGCGCTTCGGGTGACCTTGATCTGCATGTTGTTGATGACTGCCGGATCAACCTTGAAGCTCCTGGACACAATGTCATAGATGAACTGGTTGTTCTTCTGGTCAAACGCCACTGGAACTTCAGCCCGCACCTAAAACATCCAAAAAACAACATTTAGGCTTTATCCCTCGTGGACAAATCGTCTCAGAAAAAAAATTGTTTGTGAATTTTTAAAAGTGCTATGTTGTTTGAAACTTTCGAAAGATTTTTATTCAACTTTTCATTATTGCATCCAATTTACTTCCAATCAGTCCAATCACTTTTGGCTTTATAATGCTACGCTGAAACTCATTTCAACTTTGAAAAAACGCAATTTTTACGTCGGAGAATAAAAGATATACAGCTTTGAATCCATTATTTATTTCAAATTTTGTTCATTCTGCGTTTTCGAATGATTAGAAGGGTCAAGATAGTTTATGAAGTCTAGTTTATTTTCAAACAGTTTTAATGAATTTATCGATTTGGCCTTAACAGACTTAAAACGACCGGGTGAAAAAACTGAAATTTTACTATTATTAACTAAGTTTGCACTCTGACCTGGAAAATGGCTTGTGGTATGTCACTTCGAGTAATAACTTCATCCTCCCTCTCAACTCCGCAGTTCACGAGAAAACTTTCGGCCAATGGCACTGCTTCCTGAAAATGCTCGTCGTCTCCGCCAGCAGTAAAGGGTTCGAATCTCCCCCACGGCGCCTTTTCAACAATTTTCTTTTCTTTCTTGCCGACAATTTCATCGGTTTCATTATCCGAAACCGGTTCAAATCCCGACCAGGTTGGATTTTCGAGAACTTTCTTTTCTTTTTTGTCAACAACTTCGTCAATTTCAGGGTCGCTTTCAATTTCAGAGTCGGGTTCTGAGTTTTGGTAATCCGAAAAGTTATCGGTTTTACCAACATGCTCGTCTTCTTCGGGCAGTGGTTCGAATCCCGATCTTGTTGGGTTTTCGAGAATCTTCTTTTCTTTCGGCTCTACGAACTCGTCAATTTCGGGATCACTTCCCAGTATGCTGTCGCTCTCGTCGTCTTCTGTTTTGTCATCTTCGTTGTCGGAAACGTCTTCTGCTTTTCCAACCAAAATCATGTGACTCAAATCATCAGCAGTCGTTAGATGTTCGCTCACGTTTTGCTGCGACTCTGAAGCCTCGTATCGCTCGACTTTCTCAACGCTTCCCAGAAAATCTTCAGAGAAGCTTTCGGGAGATGAATCAATTTTAGTGCACTCGGAAACATCTTCGTCTGCTGATAAAGAGTCGAACTGACTCCCCATGCAAGTTGTGGCAATGAGCTTAGTAACGAGTCGGATAAGATCCATGTCAGGATCTTCATTCACCATTTCGTCCTCTGGAATTTTTTGGGTCCCCGACATTGAGAGAGGCAGTTGAGCAACTCCTCGTTCAAAGCTAAAATATTACCACATCTTCTTTGTAAAATAAATATATTTTAAAAAATAAAAATTAGCCGGCTACTGTGCGAGTAGCACAGAAAAATAGAAAAAAGTGTAAAAATACAGTTTTTTTCATGATTTGTAGATGTTTTTTTGTAAGAATAAAAAATATTATAACTAGTAACCTGTAGCTCTATAAACGTTCACAAAAATTAATTTGCTCGGTATTGCTGTATACATCACTCGACCCTGCACGACTGATTTTAGGGGTAAACAATTTTGTTGGGACCTTGTGGTTGTGACAATTATGAAAAACTGTTCACATGTACTATCACTAAAAAAAATTTTTTTTGTGCTAACCGTTGCAATGTCATGTCTCTTACAGCCAAAACACCTCCATTCAGAGTTATTTCAACCAAGTTCTCCGAGGCCTCTGGTTTCTGGGACTCCTGCAGTGAGGTGGAGCTGCTGGCGCCCTCTTCCATATAAGGACAGAATTTGTCGAAATCGAGTTGCACTTCTAGCAGGTCGTTGTCGCCTTCCAATTCGATCGTTGAGACTTTGAAGTTATCCGACAGCGATGCATCAGAATTTCCTAAAAATTCATACTTGATTTTACTTGAAAATAAAGCAAAAATACATAACCAATAATTTCTTGACTACAGAACGCATGAAGAACAAAAAAAAATGGCGCCTGTTCTTTGCTAAAAAGGTCTCAGGAATCCCCATCGTTAATAGAAAATTAGAAATGCGCTACGTTTTTTGGATGAACAGAATTATTATTGGAGATTTTTGCACGAAGATTAGGGTTTCGAGTGTGATAAAATGTCTGTGGTTTTCTTAAAATAGAGGACGAGAACGAGCATTACTTTAGTTCCCTGTTTTCCTTTGGAATGCGACGAATAAGCCCAATTGACTGAAACTTTTTTCCAAAACAAACAAAGGTTCTCAGTGGGTGTACTTTTCCAGTGACAAATTGATAACTAATGATAAAATAAAATGAGCTCATTCAAAACCTTTCATTGAAAGTTTAGGCAGTAGTTCCGATCCGGTTAATGATTAAAGTAATAATCTATTTACCTTTTCCGATAACTTGAGGCACTTCAATTAACCTCAATGTGACCTTCGACCTCGCTTCTGTTCCCACAGTTGCCGGTTTGACCCTGCGTGACCTCTCAGAGCTCACCAGCTGCAGTTTCTGAGGCACAACTCCTTCATCCATAACTTCAATGTCATATTCTTCGGCTGAGTCGTACTTAATTCCATTCGTTTCCTTTCCGAGTGCCAAAAATAAATTCAGCAAAGACTCGTCCGATGATTCGTATTCTTCTTTCGACCACAGACCCGAAGAGGCAAGAACCCCGTTCGTTTTTCCGATTTTGACTTCGTCGTCCAATGAAATCAGTTTAAGACTCTCAACAATTCCCGAGGCAAGAACGTCTTTTTGACACTTCTTACCCGAATGAATACAATTCTCATCGGCCGAAAACTCTCTCGCCTTTTCCGTTTGCGAGTTAGAAACTTTTTTGTTCACATAGTTTTCGGACTCTTGTAAGTTCAAAGTTTCGTCCATAGCTCGAGCTAAAATTCTGCTAATTTCACGTTCGGCCGTTAAAGAGCAATCATCGCCGAGCAAGCTTTCAAACGGTTTCAGGCCATTTCGTGCTTTTTGTGACAGGTCTTTGGCTTCGAAAAGTGAAAGCAACTCATTTTTGCCGAAAGCTAGACCTCTATCGAACGATTTTACTGCTTCCAGTGTGCAAGTTTTGTTCACTGATAATTTGTTCGCTTTTGTGTTGAAAACTCGGAATTCCTTGTTTTGTGATTCTTGCAGCTTTACTATTCCAAGATCGTTTCTGGCGAGAATCGAATTCTTGAGTTCTTTTATATCGGAAATCGCCAACGAATTGTCCTTGGCGATATCAAATTTCTGCAACTTTTTGCAATCATTACCTCGGTTCGCAATTGGCTTCACAGCGAAGTTAGCATCAATCCAGTTTTCGTCAATGTTAAAATTCATTTCAGCGGCACGAGCTAAAATGAAATTTTTGAACAGTTTAAGATCCGACATTTTGATCGATTGATCTCTCATAATATCAATTTTCTGTAGCTTTTTGCCTCTAAGAATGTCGCCCAAAAGTTCATTTCGGTTCATATCTTTAGAATTGATCCACGTTTTTTCAAGGTCAATGTTCATTTCAGCAGCTCGTGCTAGTTTGTTCAATTTGGCGACACTTGCCAAGAAAGTACTACGCACAGGAGTACAAGGCTGTTGCATTGTTTCTTCGAATATCGCCGACAGCATTTCACGCGGTCGGGTGAACTCGGAAAGAGGTGATTCCAAACCAAACCCGATTATCGAGCTCTTCGAAACTTGTTTGTGTGACAGTTTTTCCGAAACGGAGCTCGGCTGGTCGGTAATTTTGGATTTTTCTCTATTTTCAAGTCCCATTTCTCGAGTTCGGATCCAAGTCTGTTCATCTGAGTTGGAGGCACAACCGTCCGAAACAATTTTTGTGATTAGGAACTTGAGTGCTTTTTTGTTTTCTGGCAAAAGGCTATCGTGTTTTATGAGTTGAGCGTAGAACATCAAAACAGCAGGCAAAGCTTGACTAGCGTCAAGTGACATCCATTTCACAAAGGCAAACGAAGCCATCGCCAGAACTTTTTTCTGGTCTAACTTCGGTTGTTTTTCGCCGAAATTTTCACTCCTCGATTGATAATCAGCGTTCATTTTTTCCTCAGGTACTCGACTTTCTTCGTTCAAATTCTCAGTCATAATCAACTGGAAAGTTTCTGACAAATCGGCTGTCAAAGCTTTGCCCATTTTCGTCTTATTGAGTGATTCGGCTATGAATGCTTCAAAATTGGAATCCGGAGATTCATTCACACACCTTGCAAATACTTCAGAGAAGAATTCACGCGTTCTGGTGTAGCTTTCAGGTTGCTGTTCTGACCCCACGGCCGAAACTGACTCTGCCTTTATGTTCTTTTTCGAAACCTTTTCATGCTCAGAGATCTTCCTGCCTTCAGCCTTTGAACTTAATTTAGCCGGACCGGTCATTTCTCGTAATCTCATCCAAGACGACAAAATTTGCTCCGATTCCTTAACGAGGCTCTCCGAAACAACTTTGCTCTCCCAGTACTTTTCAGAACCAACACTCTTTCCCAACAGTCTTTGATGTTCCACCAGCTTGGCGTAGAATAGAACTAGAGCTGGAATCAGCCCAGGATCCACTTTATGCCATTCAATCGAGGCGAACTGCGCTATGGCCTGAGCCATCTCTTGACTCAACTTTCCTTTCTGGTTGCAAATTTCCTTGTTTCGAGAGTAAATATCCGCCCTCGCTTTAACCTTCTTACCCTTCGCTCGACGATCGTTTTCGCTGATGTTTTTCGTCTCGCGCATATCAATTTGTTTTTCACATCCAAATCCAAACAGAGTGCTGATCGAACTTTTGATTCTCAGAATACATTCTGTTGAAACCGATGTTTGATCACTCTTGATCTTTTTAGATAAAGCTAATTTCGATCCGTTTTCTTTCAGCAAAGCCTTCTGGTTCTTTTCCTCAATTTCCTTCCATTCATAGTCGTCACCCAAATTCCGATCCAAAGCTCGTGCCAGCTGTATACAACCAGCAAAATCAGCAATGAAATTCTCCCCACCGTTTTTACAACAGGATTCCAAAATACCTTCCGAAATCTCAGCTGGGAAGATTTCCCTCGTTCTGATGTAGTTCTGCGGCATCTTTTCCGACCCCGCAGCTATTACGGGTACGGTAGTTTTCGGTTCCTTTGAAATCTTACTGTGTCGACCTATATCCGATTTTTCAGCTGTGTGAGTTGTCTTTGAAGTCGCATTCATTTCCCGCAATCTTATCCACGTTGAAAGGCATTGTTCGGATTCTTTGACGAGACTTTCCAAAATCACCTTGTTAGTCGTGTATTCTTCAGGACTCAAAGATTTATCCAGCATTTTTTTCTGCTCCACCAATCTGGCATAGAACAGAACCAACGCTGGAATCGACTCTGGATCGACTTTGTGCCAGTCTATCGAAGCAAACTTTGCAATAGCCAGAGCAATGTGATGACTCCATTTGCTTTTCTGTTTGAAATCAACCTTGCTTCGATGTTGGACATCTACTCGAGTTTTTGAAATGGTATTACTTTTTCGCTCACACTTGTCATCGATATCATTAGTTTCATGTAAATCGATTTCTTTTTCAATGCCGGCTCCAAACAAAGTTTCTATAGAGGTTTTGATTCTCAATTTACACTCGCTTGCGACCGTTTCTTTGTCGATGCTCACATTTTCCGGATGTTTAACTCTGCTCTGATTCTCCTTCAGAAATGAGTTTCTCTCTTTCTCTTCAATTTGCGTCCAGAGTATTTCTTCATCCAGATCACGGCTCAAAGCCCGTGCTAACTGAATGCAAGAAATGACATCTGGAACGACATTTGCTTCGTCAATTTTGCCGCGGTATTCCAAAAAACACTCGGTAAATTTTGCTGCAAATATTTCACGTGTCCGCATGTAATTTTGAGGTGTTGCGTCACCTGCTTTTGCCAGGATCGGTTCATTTCCAATGTCACTTCTTGATAGTTTTTCATGGTTAGAAAGTTCACTTTTATTGGCCTTCGACTTTGGCTTTGATCCGGTGTCCGTCTCTCGTAATCTCATCCAAGTTGAAAGACACTGTTCAGATTCATTAACGAGGCTTTCCAAAACAGCCATTGTAGTGACAAACTGCTCTGGCTTCAGATTAGAATCCAGCAGTTTCTTATGTTCAACCAATCTGACATAAAAGAGAACGAGGGCTGGAATCAATTCTGGGTCAATTTTGTGCCATTCAATAGACGCAAACTTCCCAATTGCCAGAGAAATTTGCTGGACCCATTTTCCTCTCTGCTCTGAGAACTCGCTGCTTCGACTTTGAACATCAGAGTCGGTTTGAACCTTTTTAACTTTCGCTTTTGGTTCGTTTTCGTCTATTTCATTTGTTTCGCCCATTTCTAAATGTTTTTCTTGGCCAAATCCAAACAAATTGTTTACCGAGACTTTAATGCGCGTAATGCATTCATCGGAGACAGATTTTTGACCAGTGTTGATCTTTTTAGACTTCGAAACTTTGCTCTGATTTTCTTTCAGGAAGGCTTGGCGCTCTTTCAATTCAACTTGTGTCCATTTCAGCTCAGAGTTCAAATCGCGATCTAGAGCTTTAGCCAATTGGATACAATTAATAAAATCAGCGACAAAGTTTTCGCCTCCATTTTTGCCGCAAGATTCCATGAAGCATTCTGAGAATTCGGCTGAAAAGATTTCACGTGGCCGTAAATAATCCTCATTGCACTTTTGTTCCAAGCCAATTGCTTTAATTGGTTCTTTTGACGTTTTCGATTTGTCAATGTTGTTATCGGCGGCAGATTTCTGTTTACTCGTCAATGTCGAATCTTTCGGGGCGATATTCATCTCTCGGAGTCTTGACCAGGATGCCATACTCTGCTCCATACCCATCCCTTGGGTTTCCATCAGGGATATTATGTAATCGAATGATCCTTTGTCCTCGAAATCCAGAATTCTTTGCTGTTCGATAAGTTTCGCGTACAACATTACAATACTCGGTATGGCATCGTGGTCAATGTCGAACCATTTGACAAACGCAAAGGAAGCCAGGGCCAAAATAGCTTCATTTCTCACTTTTCCGTTCATAGTTCCAAATATTTCCTCCCTTGTTTGTCGTTTTTCACTCGTACTTCCCGTAGAAATTTTCACAACATTATCCAAAATACTTTCCCAAGTAATAGAATCCGTCTTCGCCGCACCAATCAGCATGTTATACGTAGTTTCAAGTAAATTTGCAACTGAAAAGTCACTTTGAGTTGTAGAGTTTGCGTTTTCTTTGTTCGATTCGAGTTCCTGGAAAATGTCTTCAATTTGCTTCCAAATATCCAGGACGCCTTCGGCTGCAGCAAACCCTTCCGGAAGCAGCCCCGCGAAAGGAGGATTGATTCGGATGGACTCGGCCGAAAACTCCAACTTCGGTAAAGTCGAAACATCAGTAGTTGTTTCCGGGTTCAGTTTGCTCAATTTTTCTCGCAGACGTTTCCAGAATTGAATTTCATCATTGAAAGCCGAGCTGGCATTTGTCGAGTTTCGAACTGAGAACTCACCGCGAGGCTGCGAGTGTGAGTTAGGCTTTTCGTCTTCGTCGCCATTCGGATTCAAAGCAAAGAGTTCACGCGGTCGAGCCCAAAGTTGGGTTAAAATGTGGGGCTGAAGGAGGGTTAGACAGAGGGATTTTTGAAGAGAGACGTCTGGGATGGCACTGAGGTGCCTCATTATTTGTTGCGCACATTTTGAATTGTCGGACCAGTTCGTTCTTTCTCGCAGTCGGATCCACGACTCCGCCTCTCCTAAAAGGAAAATAAAACTTCAATAGACAAAACTGACAAAAAATCAGCTTCGGCGGTTTTTGTTGCAATGAACTGAAAAATTATCGTATAGATTCTTTTTATTGTTTTGAATCTTAGCTATGCTCTGCATGTTTGAGAACGGAGGTTCGAATAAGTTACGAATATTTCAACATCATAGCAAGATATAAGTAAAAAACAGACTCTACAAATTGTCAGTTGATATTCAATTAGCAAAGAAAAGTCATTTTTTTCTGAGTATTTGTGTTTTCTAAACAATATACTTTTTCCACAAAAATATGCGATGGTAGTTGAAAATGGCTTGAAATTTAAAGCTTTCAGAGTTCGGTCCATTTTCGATACTTTTTCGTATTTGGACATTTTAAAAACTGGAACGTTCTTATGATACATCTGATAAAAGTGATTTATTATGATAAAAATTGTAAACGTATGTTTCAATGGAGTTTGTATTGTAAGCAATATCAGCACGGCAACATTTTTCAAGGATCAGCAACTCTAAAATAAAATTCTACAAAAGCATACAACAGTTAGGAAAGCAACAACTTGCAAGAATCCGAAATTAGACTAAAACGCGGCATCATCAAATACTGACCACTACCTACACTTCAGTTAGCTGCGCTGACTCGAAATATTTGTAGCATTGTATAGAAATACTAGTGCTTGCCCTAATCTAGTTTTTTTTTCGACTAGGTAAAAAATGACGAAGTATTTGATTTGAAATGGGAGTGTTTTTTCTTCAAATAATCCTCGAGTTTTTACCAGCCTTTTTTGATCGAGAGTTCTTTTACAACTGAATGATACGGATTTTTTTAATCCAAAAAATAGAAAGATTTTGCACCTGTGATCGTTTTTGCGAAACCATAGCTCTACAAATTGACATTTTCACTGATTTGGGAGATGTAAAGAAAGCTACTTTACAGTTTTTAATAATTTGTGATATAGTTCCAGGCCAAAATGAGGGAAGCTCAGAAAAAAGATGAGGAATGGTATCACAAAAAACTTCGCAAGACATTTCGCTCAAAAAATTTTATATAATTTTTGACTGCATAACATTTTTCTAATACAGCTGGTTTATAACCTTACGGGCAATCAGAACACTTAGCACTTGGTTACAATCGATTTTGCTTTATTGTTACGACTTTCGCAACTAAAGTAACGGAATGTTTGTGCTCGGAGTGGTTTTTTACGTCAGACAAATTTCGACTTTTTAGCTAGCCATTTCTGACGGAATTGTCTAAATCAATCACAATATATTGCTGCCCTGAGCTTAAATTTGAGAAGATATTTTACCTGTGATTAATTTTCGTAAGCTTATGGGTGTTTAACTTTTGCCATTTTGGCCAATTTGGGACAATTAACGCGCGATATATTTCGCGCTATTGGCGTGTAGGTGGAGATCCAATCTGCTTTAGAAATTGTTGCAAATTGGTTAAAAGAAGCTTATTTGCCATAATTGATTTGTTACTAGGAGCAAAAGTTATCAGTTTGTAATTTATAAGGCGTGTGGGGGGATGAATTTTACATAAAATCTCAAATTAAAAAAAAATCATTTTTTATCGTTACATTTAATTTTTTCATGTTATGACTGCTCTATAGACCTTAAGAGGCATGAAATAAAAAACTATGTTCCATGTAACATCAAATTTAGGCGGCAACTTTTCTCGCCTTTTCCGCCTATTTCAGTTGTTTCCCCATGTAGATGTTCAATGCGTTTTGGCGCTTTTTTTCTAGAAAATAGAAATATGCCGCTGAGCATGGGAAACATTTTCTATGAAAAACAGCAGTCTGACGCCATTTTGTATTTTCAGTGTTCAGCATGGTTAACCAGGCTTCATCTGATGTTACTTTGGTTTTTGCTTCAAAGTCATGTTTGAAATTCTCATTGCCAGGGTTTTTATCCGTTTGCACCATCTACATCAGTTCCTGTTGAACGTTTTTTTCTTTGCTTTTTTCGTTTCTACACTATAGAAACAACATTTTGGATGAAACTGTACCCAAACTCGTGTTAGTGCAGTACAATATCAAACTTGTTTGATTTTTCGGATAATAAAAGTTTTCACCGCCATTTTTTTTGCCTAAAATGGCCGTTTTCCGCATGAAAAGGCCGCCAATTTTAGCATGGTTCCCCCTAAATTTGATGTTCTTGGATTTAATAATTGCTTGCTTTCATGAATTGTCGCTTTCAATAATGTTTAAGAGTTTTGCAGTACTTACGATCACTAAAAGTGGGAAGGAAACTTGTTTTCGGGTGTCTTTTTTGTTCAGGTTTTTGTAAACATTTTATCTTACCGCCACAAACAATCATTTTTTTAAAATTTCAGTGATAAATTATATTGTGATAGTGATTCATTTTACTCGCAAGTTAATAATTGTTAAAATTTTTTCCTGAATCCGACTGACTAAAATAAAACTTTATGGCTAGAGAACGGTTTTGCAAGGTAGAATATGCAAACCAAATGTGTTTGTATTAGCCTATCTCGCCCGCGTGCTAATTTTGAAGGTAATAAGATCTTGTTGTGCTCAATTTTGAAGACAAAAAGTGCTCGTCGCTTGAGGATGAAGCAACATTACCCAGCCCAGAAAAATAACAAAAAAAATCATGTAGTTCTTAAACAGGGGCACAACAGCGGTTCGCCGTGATGAGCTGTACAGCTCTTGTGTTGGTCCTTTCCCCCGTGGATAAATGTTCTTAATCTTGTGAACGAAAGGTTTCGCAGTAAAATTTTGCAAGTGGTAAAAAAAACAAAAGTAGCCAAGTTCTTTGATTATGTTTCGACCCTCCTTGATTATCTTTTAGACCATCCCTTTGCACGAATAAAAGCTGGTAATATTATAAACAAATTTTGAAGCCTCTGTTTTAGTTTTTTTTCTTTTTTGATTTTAGCAAAAATAACCGTAGTCGGAACATTCTGTGCAACTTGCTGAACAACCAGCAATCGTTGCTGCGGGTTGCCGGTTGCCTTTCATTGCGAGTTGTCGTATAACAACAATTATTACCATGGAGTTTGGTTGAATTCTTACCATGGTGCGACTGGGCCAATCTGGCATCTTGCAGAGTAGTCAATTCTTTGTTCTTCACGACCTGTTCACACTTCACAGCAGCAGCTGTCGTCTTCGTCGTCGTCGTTGTCTCATACCCACTGTCATAGCATTCAATTGAAGTAGTGGATGAATTGGACGAAGATGACGAAGATGAAGAAAACGAAGTCGACGAGACTGTTTTTACAATTTCTGTTCTCGTTCGCCGACTTGACTTAGTCGTGGATGATGCAAACGAATTTTTTGAACTTAATTCGCTTTTCATGTTAGGCAAAACTTGTAGTTATTTGAACAAGAAAAATAAGAACAAGTTGACAGTTTTCCTTCGTCAAATTATTTTCTCTTCCCAGGCAGCGTTGCTTTCAACTGTTTTCAAAAATCTAACTGAACAAACTCAAATGTTCCACTCAAAGCCAGTGTAGTGTTGTAAATCCAGGCTCGAAACGAGCACCAGTAAAATAATCTAAGATCAGGCTTAGCTTTACTGCAGCCAAATGTATAAATCAAGAGCAAGCGGCTATGTGTTAATAAGTTTTGCGAAATAGCTCTAATAAAGAAAACCTTGTAAAGTTGACCCAACAGGTAAATGTGGTTTTGGGTTTTTATGATAGTTTTAAAAATATTGGTTTTAAGTGGGGATTTAAAGTGAATGTTGGGGTTGGTGTTTTGATTGTAATTCAGGTAACGTTTTCCATGTGACTGGAGGGAGTCAGTGATAACAGTCTATGCATTACCTGACTTGCTTCTTATTAACTTAAATCCCGATTTATATATTTTCATTCATTGAAAATACTGTCCATTATGTAGACACACTAAAAGAAAAAAGAAGTTCTTGCAGAAAAATGATTGTTTTAGATATCGTAAGTGTCTTTCGGAGATCGTGAGCATATCGTACAATTTTTTCGTAAGGTTGTATTGTCAGTAAAAATATGTGCCCACTAAGGTTAAAGGTCAAGTTAATAAACTATCAGTAGAACTTTCCAAAAAGCTGTTCAAACCTTATAAATGCATTTTAAATTTTTGTCTTATTGTCGTTAAATTGTCTTTATGCACATTTTTTTGATCAAGTCGGCTCAATTTGACTAATTTGGAATACACCATATAATGTTTATTCTGAAACCACGTGCTACAGGTACGACTGAGATCGAATTGCACTCATAAGCCCCCGCAACTTCCAATTTCACTTCTGTTCAATATCGAGCCCGCTGATTCCGGGCGAACCTTAAGCACGGCCAGTTTCAAAGGGCGCACTGCACACAATTTAGTGTGCGACGTCAAATAAGTCAATATTTTGGCGAAATTTGTCTCTTTGTTTCTACAATCATGAGTGTGTTTATTATGCTCAAAATGGTACAATAAGTGTGAGCTGGCAACACTCTAAAAATAGCAAGTTTGGTCAGTTTAAATTATTCGGACTTTATTTTAACAGGCCTTGAAAAATGAACACAAAAACTAAAATTCAATGAATGATATACACTTTTAATTCTACTTCGAATTTCCAAAATTAACTTGAAGGATTAATTTGAACATGAATCTGAAGTTTAAAAAAGTACGGAACTAAAAATTAACTTTTCTTTAGAGTTTTATAGCAATTTTTTGTTTCTGGTTTTGGCAAAACAAATTTTCCGGATCAAAACTGCTCGAGGATATCAAAGTTTTTATGTTTGCATTGGCACAATTTGGCCTATTTCTATTCGAGAAAAAAACGCATCAAATTAAATTAATCAAAATTTGGTCAAAAAGTTCGTGAATAATAATTCATATTGTGGAGTATTTCTTCGGAAAAGCAATTAGCCGATATGAAAGTAAAGAAAATATAATTGAAAGCAGAAACATCGACATTTCAAGTGCAATAGCACCTGCATAGCCCAAAAACTCAAACACTAAGCCGCCAATAATAATAGAGCCAAAAGTCACGCCTACTTTTGACCACGTATTGGTCCATGCTGACATCAGAAAACGATATTCTGTCGAATTCGATGAGTTTGAAAGCTCCTGTTTAAACACATCATGAAGAACTACTAAACCGGCAACGTAGCCAGTTATGTAACAGAACCCCCGCGCCAAAATCAGACCCGAGAATAAAAAGTAGTTGGCGTAACTCCCGTCGTAGAACAGAAGAGCACCCAAAAGTAGACATCCGCTGGCGCCCAAAATAGGAGAGAGGAAAAAGATTGTCCATTTGTATCCTTTGTCGACTAAATAACCGACGACAGGTGAGCAAATCAAGGCTAGCACAGCATGTGGAACGTAGTAAAGTCCAATTGAGCTTCACAGATGATACGTTAGACTAGTGGTGCATAACTCATATTTCGACTCAATTAAAAATATAGTAGTTCGCTCTTATTTTATTTCTGATAACTATCGTTATCATGTTTATCATGTCGACCAAATTAGTTATTTTAGGTGTTCTAAAAAAGCAAGCAGCCTATTTTATCAAAAAGTTCCAGAGAAGTTGGCAAAAAGTTCCAGTGAAGCGTTTTTGAAGTTGACAAGCGTGTCAAATCTATAGTTTTGCACAGTTTTTGGAAAGAATTGGCCTAAACATACATTTTTTTCTTCTCTGACACAAGTTTAGACCTTAAAACTTGGTAAAAATAGACGCAAGAGCGGTTTTATGATTTTCTCAAAGGGGATCTTCAAATTTTTATTACATTTTTTTTTACCTTTTTCATTGTCTTTCATAAATTTTTGTGCCGCAGGTAGATTTTTGAAATAAACAGGCATAAAATAGAAGTTTATAAACACTCTTAGGTTTTTTTCTAAGTTTTCGTTTGTTTTTGACGAGAGCTCCCCTATCAAAAGTAAAATATATAGGGGTCAAAGATGCTTTTAAAATTTTAGGGTCGGTCAGCCAAATATGGAAGGCGTAAAAAAAGTATCAAAGTGGGGGATGCTTTGGGTGGCCAGAGGGTTGAACCCCTGAGGGAGGCGGTGGACTCCCCATGTGAACCCGCTATTGTATACGCACTTGAGGCGTTGGCTTACAAGTAATGAATGGGATAAAATAGCACCAATAAATTATTCTAGATGTAATCGAATATCCGAGAAGGATGGATTTTTTTCACCTGTGTACACGGTTACGTCAGACTTTTTGTATGTCTATCTATATTCAGGATCATTCAAACCATTCAAGAACGATGAATTGATGAATTGATTCGGGATTTACAATGCACCGCCTAGTCTGACATATCATCCCGACCTCTCTTGTATTTTGACGACGTTGATTAGGAAAGGGGAGAAGAAGACGGCGATGACCCCCAGAAGGGAGTAGTTGAGGGCGTAGGGGATGGTGCTGATTGCAATCGTGGGGGATCTGCACACTTTTTGCATCACCTCTGATCTCGTTTGCAATGACTGAGAAGACGATGATGATTCTGAAAAAAAAACAACAGCCACTTTTTTGCAATTTCAACCAGATTCGAAAGTCGAAAGTGAAAAGTTTGCCCGTCTTTTTGAACCTTCATAAGCAAATGTTTGCATATGTCAAAGTTTTATCATATTTTCAAAGTTTCAGTCGCCAATTTTTTATATTGTTTTTTGTTCTTTTCAATTAAAGGTTTCCACGTACTCGTTATGAAGAAACAGAAAAACTTACCGAGGGCATAGTTGAAACTACACGTGCAATTCCCTGTACTATAGGGAAAAATTAAAGATACTGATACTGATTCAGATTTTCCATCTGATAGAAAAATAAACTGCTACATTAATTTATAGACAAAAATCTAGGGCCGTTTTTGACTGCCTTGTTGGCAACTCTATTTTCTACTTCTGTTAGTCAGAAAATTCTGATCTATTTTTATCCTTGTCATTGTCTTCGCTTTTTTCCTTAACAAATATTATCGCGACACAATTAGATAGCAAAGTTTCCTCGATCAGACATTTTGAGTTTGAAGCAATGACTTCTCTTAATAATGCTAATCGAAGATTTTTTTTTCTGTGTCTAAAATTTTCATGCGATACAAATATTGCAGCCAAAATCGGTTGGTCTGTGGTTGACCTGTAGCTAGAGATCTCGCCTTCAACACAAAGCAAAACTCAAACGACACGCTATCTTTGCAATGGTAGGGAATCGAACAAACGATCTGACTCATTCAACTGAGTTTTGCTTCTCGACTGAATCTTTTTTACCACTTTGCTTCCTATCTTTTTTCTTCACTCTTTGCATGTGCCTCCAATCTTTGCTCTTTACTCATTTGCTTTTGCGTTCCATATTTTTTTCAAAATTATGCTTCACATCCTCGTTTTTTTGCTCTAAATTGATTGTCACAGAATTATTGAGCCTTCTGGGAGAACAGGCATCCCTTTTCCATCATTTTGATTCTTGAGATTTTCTGCTTTTTGGGCCGACTTCTAAAATTCACTCCTTTATTAAATTTAATTTCCTTACTGGTGAGACTTGGGACTAATTAAAGGCATCATCTATAGTTGCTTTTTTCTTGACCTTTTATTTTTTTGTTTTCAAATGATTGAAGGATGGTTGTGCGATTGTTATGCATACGAAGTTCATTCGACCTTCGGTATTGATTATATACTTGCTAGCTATATAATGCACCGATCGTTGGCCGATCATTCACTAGTTGGAAATAACCTGAGATTGTGATTTTTTTCTATCTTTTTAGATTAAAATAGGTATTGTACGTTATGAAATTGTTCGTAAATAGGTAGAACTTCTCACCAATTTATTATGGAGCAGTAGAAAGATTGGAGCTTATGGAGAAATCATTCATTTTGGACGAATCAAATCAAGGAACCGCCGACAAATTGAAACCAATGGAGCGATCTGTTTCAATTGTGATGATCAAAAAGAGAATCTGGATATCGATAATCTTACTGGACGGGAACTCCAGAAATTCAAATCCCGATCACGGAACAAGGTGGACATAGATAGAGTCAGCTAAAAATTAAGGATTAAGAACGCGATGAAAAATTACTCCTCGGTGGAGAAACAAATGAACGAAAGTTTGGACCGAAAATTCCAGAAATTCAAATCGCGATCCTAGCACCAGCTACAGTTACTGAGCTGGACAGAGATAGAGTCAGCCGTGAAACAAAGAATAAAAAATCAATAAAAATTAAAGAAACCTCAAAGGAGAAAAAACAAATGAAAAAAAATCAAACGGGATAAGAATGAAAGGCACCAACAAATATTTTAGCTCAATCCTCTACGAGGCTCACTAAAACGAAGGTAAGCGGCCCTTCACTAGTCAAAAAATTATCCTTTCTAAAACGATGGTTCGGAATTACAGTTTCACATTGCAGTTTCACATTAAAAATTCACATTTAACAAACCACCAAACACAAAACTTGAAAGATATAAATTTCTAAACAGAAATGGGAGAGACAAGAAATCAATTGAACAATGTTGGGGAGCAGTAACAGATTTAGCTAGTACGTGCATTATTCGAGAGGCAGAGACAAGGCAGAATGGACAGAGTAGTTTTCATTTGTAATAAGAAGAACAGAAAAATCCAACGCACTTTTTCTCGTCGACTATCGGTCCATTGGATGCACTAAGTCAAGATCTCATAGATGAGAAAGACTATTTTACTAACCAAAAACTAACAAAATGGCCAGATCGATAAACAATAGTCCCAGTTTAAAAAAAATTAATGTACATGGTCACATAAAAAAACCGAGTCTTGACATTGAGAGGAGCAACTCATGCATTTCAAGAGAGAAGATAAAGATTTTTAAGTGCTCAGAAATAGACACAACCAGGACCATTCGAAATAAAAATTTGAGCCGAAAATAACTGGTAGCTACAACTGAGCACAGGGGTCTACCACTGCGGAAACATTGTCTAAAAGCCGGTAAGAGCCTCAAAGAACAATTGATAATGGCCCACACGAAAAACTTTTAGTTTTTGCTAATTATAAATAAAATTGCACTTTGCAGGGCCATTGTACGCTTTCTGGAGAACGAACAAAAAGTGCTCTTAAAAATTTTATGAAAACTTCTATGATTATCGATCTGTTTACAAGAAAATCCCTTGCAAAAAATGTTAAACAACAATTCCCCATTCTTGGTCATTTCTTTTTCAGACAACTACTGTCACCTATTATCGTTTCTTTGAAAAATTAGAGTCGACCATATGTTATGTTTCGTATCTTGTGGTTTTAAAATCTTTTGTGAAAAGTTTATTTCTGAAAATTTTTACAACTGAAAACGAATTTTTGTTAGAAGTTCCCTGGATAAGCTACTGTCTACCCGTTGGCAACCTCCGACGAGGTCTTCTAAACCAAGGAGAAATATGGGGCCTCCGAGATTTTTTGGTTAATTTAGATGTCAGAAGGTGTCAGAAAAAGACTAGCGGACGGCGGCTACTTCAGAAAGAAGCTCAATCAAAACAATGTGCTTCTCTTGTATCCAGTCGTGGCTCTATCCGTTTTTTAAACCCCCTTAGTTTTGATACCTAGTGGCCGCCGCAACGCTAACTTGGTCGTCGAATTCAATGCCTCAATTGGGGCTGATCCAGGCAGTCCCTCTCGTTTCTACAATCGACTTTTTACGAACGAATTACTCACATTATCTGCCCCTATCGCAAGACGATCAAGCTGCAGATATTAGAAACGACCTTTTAGGAAGCATTGGCCAGGAGTTGAAAAATAATTTTAAAGACAATGATCATAAAATCAAAAAAAAATTTAAAAATTTAAACCATTTTAGAAAATTTCCAATCTCTTATCTCTTAATCTTAGTCTTTTTTAGATTTGCAAAACGTATGAAATCGTATTTTTTTTAATTTTGCCAATAATTTTCATATTTTTTTGAACATTTTCTTCTTTGTAAGTCAGATTTGTTTACTTTTAGGTAACCAACTGTAAGATCACCCATTTTGCACCAATTTCTTCATTTACATACCCTAAGTCACGTTGATACAATAATTAAATAAGTTCATATTTTAAGTTAATGTGCAATTTGTAATTGTTCCGACTTTCGTAACGAAAGTAACGGAGTATTTGTGCTCGGGGTAGGTTTTTTTACTTCAGACAAATTTCGACTTTTTAACTAGCCAATTTTGACCAATTTTTTAACATCAATCGAAATCTATTGTTGTCCTGAGCTTAAATTTGAAAATATATTTCACCTGTGGTTATTTTTCGTAAAGTTATGGCGTTTTAAAGATTGCTATTTTGGCCAATTTGGGACAATTAACGCGCCATATGTTTCCCGCTATTAACGCGTAAGCGAGATTTAATCCGTTTTAGAAATAGTTCCAAATTGGTTCAAGTTAGATAACATATGAAATTATTGATATGTTAATAGGAGCAGAGTCTATCACTTTGTACTCAATTTGGTGTGAGGGGGGGATGTATTCACAAAAAATCTCAAAACTTTTTAGAAAAAAATTTTAATTTTATTTTAGTTTATGTAAATTTTCCAAGTTATTACTGCTCCATAGACCTTAAAGTGCAGTCGGAACATTCAGGGCCTTGCCTTGATACGTGCAGTTTTGTTGGACTACGAATGAAATTTTATGTTCTAATTGGGAACATCAAATTTAGGCGGCAACTTTTCCCGCTTTTTCCTCCTATTTCAGTCGTTTTCCACTTTTTTCTATTAGATGTTCTATGCGTTTTGGCGCTCTTTTTCAAATTTTAGTGATATCAGTCTACGAGTATTATCTTAAACGTAGGAACAAAATCACTACTAACTGGAACTGATCAAAATATCAGACTCCTAAATGCCGAGCAACAACAACTAAAGAGGGCGAAAACTTTATTCAAACGAGGGTTGAGCATAATCACGACATATCTACTGAAAAACCTGATGCTCGACTGGTTTTGAGAAATATCAAGGACCTGAGCGAGAGTAAAATTCCGACTGTCGCAGTCGCCACAGCAATTCAGCCCATAACAGACAATTTTGCCACTCAGTTAGCCCTACCAACTAAGAAAAATTTAGTTCGAACTGCACAACGCATGCGCAAGTAACGAAAACAGGTTTTACCAGTCTCCCCAGCAACCAGAAATTTCCAAATACCCGAGCTATTTAGGAATTTCATAGGATTCGACAGTGAACACTATGATCACGAAAGCATTATTTTATTTGGCGACCCAGAAATGCTACGTGTGCTCGAAAATTCATATTTTGGTTGGCTGACGGATTTTTGAAAGTTACTTCTAAACTTTTTTATCAACTCTACTCTATACATATTCTATTCAGGAATAGCCCCGCTTGCATATATGCTTTCTTAACAAATAAAACAAAAAAACATGCCATCGTTTCTAAGAAGCACTGAAAATCTTAACCCCTGTCTGTTAGTAAACCTGAAATTTTTTTGCTGCATTTCATCAGGTTTTGCAAGAACAACAAATATTGTGAAACGCTGGCGTTATGGCATTCGGTCATATTTTAGTGGTTCACACCCTAGTGTTTGGAAAGTGATCGCAAACTTGCAAAAAGACGCCTCCCTTCGAAAACTTAGTTTCTTTAACGTCTCGAGCGGGCACCAATTTACAGAAAAGAAAAAATACCGAGTCCTAAACGAAAAAGTGCAGCATTTTATGCAGGTTTACGAAGAGAAAACTGATTTGCATTTCTTTCGAGCTATGGCGAACTTGAGCTAAGCATTTGTTCATTTGTTCTTTGTATATATTTTAAAATTAAAATGTTTTTTTTTGTCAGTTTTTTTGACAAAAAACGTCTCCTTGCAGCCTCCCGGACACGTAAAAAGACGCATTGACTTGACTCACATTTGATAAAGGCTGCCTCTAGCAATTTAATCCCAGAACATTCGCTCCTTTTGTGGGACGCTAGGTTTGGACTAGGGGCAACCAAACCCTTTAGACATTGCGTTGTATGCCGACAGTTCAAAAAAAAACGGACAAACTTTAGATGGTTCGAAAAGTTAGTTAAGGTTTACTTTTAAATGATTGCCAATTGAGAAAAACTTAGTTTAGATGGATCAAACTTTTGGCCACAACCAGTTTTTTTTGTTCCATAATTCATTTAAATTTAGCCAATTAACCTATTGTTAGCAAAATTATTTCCAAAAACAAGTTCAATTTTGGAGAAACCTAATCATTTTTGTTTGTTAATTTGAATCATGCCAATCTGAATGGTTTTCAAATTCATATGAAAGTCTAGACTATCGGCAAAGTCATTTCTAATCAAATTTAAACCGCATTTAGTAGCTTGCTTGTTATTTCGTGTTTCGTTTTGAGTCGCAAAAATTTTGGCAATTAAAGCTTTGATGTTTACCGACGCTATAGTTCCGAATTCCTTTCAAGTAAGTTTCACTTTGATTCTAACAATTGGTATTAAAAAGAGTTAAATTGTAGTGGTGTTATATAATTCTGGGATTATATGAGAGGGGGTTAAGAAAAAGAGGGTAAAAACGTGGGGTGATAAGCTTGGTAACAGTTTGAGACCACCTCATTTAGACTTGGTATTGGGTTATCTAATTTCCGATAAACTTTTTTAGACTGTTTTCGATTTTTTTAAGTTAAGGGGGAAAATGTTTTCGTTAAGGGAAAAAAGTTTGTTTTGAATTTTTTTTGTGCAACTTGCAATGCACAGCTTAAAATTTCACCTGAAGTTTTTTTGTTTCTAATTTTCGCCTAATATATGCAGCCCCGTAGTGGACTAACCTTTAACCTTCTCAACCAGTTTTTCTTTTTCTTTCTTGTCACTTCCCTGATTATCTTGAGGGAGCATAAACACAATGCACAGAAACGTCACAAAAAGCCCAAACGAACCGGTCACCAAATAAGGCAATGCAAACCCATGCATGTTATAAAAGACACTCGCTAAAATTGGGCCCAAAATGGACCCGCTCTCGAACGCGATGACTGTCAGACCCGACATTAGTCCAGCTCGGTCCGGGTAAAGAGCGAGAAGAATGGGAAATAACGACGCCCAACATGCCGAATAACCGACTCCAGTTCCGACTCTTAAAACCAAAGCCACGCCTATGTAAACCCAAGTCGAGGTTATATAAGTAATCAGCCCGAAGAGTAAATTTGAACCCGAAATAAGCCCGAGGCCGACCCAGAAAAACGTCTTCATATCGACCATGTGAACAATTTTAGGGAAGAGAAGCCCGCAAAGCGCCGAGGCGATGTCGGAACATCCGGATATTATTCCGACAACCGAACGAGATATGTTTTTATCATCGGCATCTAAAGGGAACAAAGGTTCGGTAATTGTCAGAAATAAACCGAATATAAATTGGTACGATAGTGCTAAAATAACTGTGGCTAGTTCGCGAAAACGAAAACAAGCTATTTTTTTAGAAGGTGTGGACATTTTGAAATAAGAGCGATCAATTTTTTTAGATACAGACTTTATTTCACGATTTAATAAAAAGTATTGGATTGTTATAAAAACTGGGGTATAAATGCCGGACCATAATTCATTTCTACAGCAAGTGCCAAACAAACAGGTGCTTCAATCATAATAGTTTAAGACCAACTGATAAGCAAAAAGAACTGTCACAATTAAGATGGAACGTTAGAGCCATCAAACTATATAACTTACCGATCTCAATAGTCAGGTAGTTAATTTGATTGAGAATATTTGCTATTGAATCATATCTCTCAATTTGACTAAACAAATTTTAGTATGAACAAATAAATAAGTGTCAAAAATGTTGTTTGACGATCCTTGAATCAGAACCTTGAGTTCAAATTTGAGCTGAAAAGCTTTGTTTGACAGTAGCATCAGTATCACTTTTCAAGGCATTTGAGCTCATACGATATTTGAAGTGTGATAAGCGAAATTATGTAATTCTCCGCTGAAAACCGACTTGAAAATATATACATGATCTCGATGGCATTGCGTGCATTGCCATCGATTACAGTGCATTGGATGCATTGTCATTACCTATTGATTGAAAAGGCGCTTTTTAGTTTGGCCCAGATAAAAAACCGTTTTCGTTTTTTTTAGCTCGTCGATTTTTTGCTAACATAATCTGAAAATTAGAAGTTTTTGAACTGAATCAATAGTCACCTTTTGATTTTTGACTCCCAAAAGTGAGGAAAACTGGCTGTCTCTTAAGGAAGATGGTCAAACTAGATCACACAACTAAGTTTAATCTGTTCTCATTTTTCATTGTTTTCATTCTGGTCGAACCAAGCGGGGCGTCGCTGAAAGACACAGCATTAATTCAGGGATCTCTTTAACTCCCCCAAGCCCCCTCTCTTCCCCCTATTGCAAAAGAAAAAAAAATAAAAAATTTTCAACTGGGTAGAAAATGCTCATATGCGTAGCCATTCAATAAGTTGGTGATAGGGGTGGTTACTCATTGGGTAACATGCAGGTACCACAGTGGTCAGTCAAAGGGGGATTGTTGGAAGAGTTAAAGAGGTTTTAAAATCAGCACAATGTCCACCGGCTGAATGGCAACTTGATTTCTTTGGAATGGGATTCCAGTTTAGAGGATGAAGCCAAAATGACGGTAAGACGAGGGGGTAGCGAGAGGGAGCCAAGACATAATGAAATTGAAAAAGGGGTACCCCCAGGGGCGGATCTAGGATTTTTTTGAGGGGGGGGGCGGATTTTCAAAAAATTTTCGAAAATTTTGACGACCTTTTTTTTTTTTTAGGTCGACCAAATTGATTTTCTGAGCTCTTGTAAAGCACTAAAAGGTCCCTGTTTTTGCCAAATTTTCTGCGCCGCAGGCAAATTTTTGAAAAAACAGGTCAAAAAAGCCGTTTTTAGGCACTTTTTGAAAAATTTTGACAAAAAAAATCGCGTTTTTTTGGCGCGCGCTTCCCCTCAAAGTTAGTATATATTGGCGCCAAAGGCGCCTTTAGAAAAATTTTAGGGTCGGTCGGCAAAAAATGGATTTCTTAAAAAGTATCAAAGGGGGGACCCTTTGGGTCGGCAGGGGGTCGAATCCCTGAGGGGGGGGGGGCGTCCGCCCGCCCCCCCCCGCCCATCCCCCTAAATCCGCCCCTGGGTACCCCATATGGTAGCTAACAGTTTTCCACCGCTGTAGAAAAATAATTTGGCGGTTGAGAACGATCACTTTTATCACTAAATCTGTTTTGGAGAGGAGCATGTTCGCTTAGTTGAGATCATTTTTTCTAGCTATTTGAGTTTAGTATTTTGAAGGTCAACCCGCATCTGATTTCAGTTCTAAGAATCGCTTCTATCGGATTTTTATACAAATTATTATAATTTATTAAAAGTACCTAAATGAAAAACTCAAAAGATTTATAATCGAATGTAATTTCTTATTATAAATTCTTGTTGATTATAGTGCTAAAAAAATCTTTGAAAAACGGTTTGAAATCACCGTAATAGCATTAATTCACAAACATCTGATTCAATTACCAAATTCCGAATACTCTTTTAGACAACACTGATTTAAAATTTTATCAAAATTTTAAAATCTACCAATTTCACATGATTTAAAATTACCTCTCTAAAAGTCCCAATTTTTAATTTAAAGCACTAATTATTTTTTTCCAGGTCTGAAAATTCCAGTTTTCCCAATTGTGACAACTTTTTTTTGGGATTGAACACTTTGTAGTACTTAGAACATAGTTGAAAAATGACCGAGGGAAAAAGAGCCCGGCCTGAGGGCACGAAGTTTCCGAGTGAGGCACTTTTGCCCGAGGCCATCTTCAGCTATGTTCTAACTGTTGAAGAGTATGTTTTTGCTCTTTCTGAGGGAAAGATGCCAGAAAATTGTGAAGGAGCGGAAAATTGTGCGCGAAACTATGCAAAAGATTTCTTTTTTAATTCAAGCGTTTTAATATTTCATTTTTCATTCATGCCTTGCGTGAAAGAACATGTGTGAAAGAGCAAAAACATACTCTTCTATTCTCAACTGCAAAGATAATGTGCCAGCGTGAACAAATGAACATATTTTTTTTTGCAATTATCATCGTTTTTTTTTCGGCCAAAACAATAGGTTTGGCAGCTGAAAAATATGGCGTTTTGACTGCGGCTTCCTTAATCCTCTGTGATTCTGACTCCTTCAGACTTATCAAACTGCGGTACTTATTGATGACATCCATGTTTGGTCGAACAACCGGATTTCTTTAAAGGCGATTTTGGCTCTAATATACATCAAATTCGACAAAATTTCTATTTTAGACAAAAGCTCGAAAAGTGCTTCAGAACGTCCTTTGGCCCTTTTCACGTTTCCTTCTCCCATCTACAATTTTTCCTATCTGCAATTTCATGTGGAAACTGTCACAACACTTTTTCTCATGTACGATTTTACAAAATCAATGGTTTAAACCGTAAAGTTGGTGCCTATGGGGGGAAGATAGAAAAGCCCATAACTTCAAAGCTCAACCAAAATAGCACCTGGCAGACTAAAGACTCTTTTTTTTGCGAGGATGTAGTTAGCGCAAAAAGCATCTCCCAAACAAATTTAGAATCATTCCAACAAAAAAATATTACAAATATGACCAAAAAAGGCAGTCTAGGATAAAAAAAAGGTTTCCGAAATCTGAGATGTTAAAATTTAAAGTTAGATCTGAGGGTCTTTAATTGGTAAAATTTCATTGTGTAGAAAGGTTAATTTAAACATGAAATATTCTTCAGCGTGACAACTTTCCTCATCTCAGTTGTTTCTTATTTTCTCAAACCATTGGAAAAACTTGCGACAATTACTGATAACTGGTGTTTTCAGTCATGGAATAAACTGGAAACTGCTTCAAATGTAAAATTGAGATTTTCAAAGAAGAGAGTTGAGATTGTTGCAGTCGTACGATATAAAAAGTTTGTAAAAAGTTCAAGTAAATAGTTTTCAAAGTTGTCATTAAAAATACTTGTTTTAGAGATTAAAAAATGTAAAATTGTATTTAGTTTTATCCACTGGTGTATCTTTTAAAACATCCACTCGTTGATATTTATTACAACTTTTCAAAAAAATACACACAAACTAATTTGATTTGAAATATATTTAATCTTGATTTGAAGTCCCATAAAACTTATGTCACTGAAACCTACCAAAGCAGTGAAAAAAATTTAAGCTTAGTGTATTCTGATAATTTTTTCTGCAAAAAGATGGAACTTGCTATATTAAATTTGATCTTTTTCTGAATTATCTTGATACCGCGAAATAAGCGGTAATTGTATTTATTTTTTGAAATCAAAACTCGTTGAACACCTTGCAACTCAAAATTGAGCAGCGGGCTACAAAATGGCTACACAGCTGGTCTTCGCATTAAATAAATGGATTAAAGTTTTTCAGAGAAAACGCAGAAAGTGTTTTTTTTTCGCAAAATTTTTGGCTAAAATAGAAAAAAGCATTTAGTCTGACGATATTTATTTGATGATTGATTAAAGTCAGGATGACTGTCATTCAGATTAATTTTTTTACTTAATGATCTGGGCTACAGGACATAATTTATTTAGAATAACTAGAAAGTTTAACAGAAAATCAAAACGGTCATCTTTAAAAAGATTTACAAAAGATTATGATTTTTTTTACGTAGAAAACGAGTCAAAAGTAAACAGCAAGATGTGTATAAATGTGTATATTTTCTAAAAAACAAATTTATTGCGAGGTTATTTTTAAAGATAAAACGAATCATAATGGAACAAAGTTTCTAGACTACCCAATGAGTTTCATCTGCAACAGGAAAGATTCGAATTGAGTTTTCATGGGTTAAGTTTTTTTAAAATAATTTAATGAGTAATCTTTTGAAAACTGTTATATAATTGGCTCCTAACGCTTGTAACTGGATATGGGAAGATACAGCTTTGAGGCGAAAGATCACTTATTTCTACGAAAAAAGTTAAAACTTTTGAGAAATTACGAGAGTTCAGAATCTGTTATACCACCATGGCGCCATGGGGAACTATCAAAAGAGTCGTTAGAACAATTTTGGCTCAAGGTAATTTTTTTTAGCCCAAATAAAAGCAAATTAAATGTTGATTTTTAGTCTTGTAACGTTTTTGGGAACTTTAATGGAAATTATTTTATTGTTTTTAGCCGTATTCTAGATTTTTCTTCTATTTTTATATTAATCTTAGTTCTCGCTCGCACTACATTAACTATATATCATGTTGCAGTTAAGAAAACCAAAGCTGAGAGGACTCTTGTTTGCTTACTACGGCTATCCAAAATCTATTTTGGACAGACATGAACTCCAACAATCGGTTTTTAGACTCAAAGCTTTTCGATAATTCAGGAAAATAAGGGTTAAAATTCGTTTTTTTGGCGTTTTGGGTCCAAAAAAAACGTTTTTGTAAGCCTTCGGTATCTTTTTTCTCTTCTTTCAAAAACTTTGTTTGTTCGCAAATTAGGTTTAATCTAGAATCAGTGAAAACTTTCTCATACAAGTAGAATAAGTGGAGATTGAACCTCAAAAATGTAAAAGCGAATCAGAAAACAAAATCAACACTGCAAAGATGGTAGAAACCAAAATTTTAAATTGATTTTAGTTTTTTCATTATTAGAAAAACCTCAAAATTTGTCGGCGAGGAAGTTTTTGATATGCTTTAGGATATTATTTAAGATATGGTGACCTTACCAAACCCATATATGCTTATCGTTGAACGTTATCTAACTAAAAATACAATGGTTCTTGAGTCTTATTCTTTCATCGAAGCGTAGATTCTTAACCGTAGTCTAGACTGCCCCTCTTAATTCTTTCTTGTTCTAGCTTATCTTTTTTTTCAGTGAAAATT